TTCACCTCAAATTTACAATGATCCTCCTGCCGCAATCTTCTGAGTGTTGGGATTATAGGGGTGTGCCACCATGTCCTGCCTTCCACTTTCTTTTGGTATGGTACTGGGAAATCAAACTCAAGGGCACTCTGCCACTAAGCAATACCCCCTCCACATATACACACACACTTTGCTTTTAAAAAACAGGGTCTTGGGGCTGGGGATTTAGCTCAGCGGCATAAGCGCCTGCCTGGCAAGCAGGTGGTCTGAGTTCAATTCCTGGTACCTATAAAAAAAAAAAAAAAAACAGAGTCTTAAAAAAAAAAAAAAACAGGGCATTGCTAAACTGTCTAAGCAGGACTTAAATTTGCAATCCTCCTGCCTCAACCTGGAATTATAGGTATGGGGCCTACACTCATTACTAGCCTACTCCCCTCCTCCAGGGAGGCTTTCCCCAAGGCCCAAGGCCCTCTTTCCCATCCCTGCCCAGTCCCTGTCTTCCCTCATATCCCCTTCTCAGGCTCCAGGACTCTACCCTGCCAGCAGTGAGAACCAGAGTAAGAGGCAATGTTGGGCCCAAGGGGCGAATGCTGTGAGCAGCCAGCACTATGCTCTCTTCAATAATTCACTTCCAGGGAGGTGGCAGGCATCCTGTCCTCATTCTGAAACCAGCAATGGCTACCACAATCAGAGCTTTACACTGAGAAGCAATGAGGTAGATGGCTGGTGAAACAAATAGGTCTCCAAGCCCATGCTGGCACCTTTTCCCTATTCTTTATAAAAGAGAGGCTCTGCTGTGGGCTGAGATCAGGGATCCAGTGAGAAATAAAGGAGGCCATACACAGCAGAGAGGAAGGAGCTAAACACAGTGCTTCACTCCCGCCCCCTCCAGCTGTTCACACCTGCTCAGTCCCTTGCTCTGTAGCTCTGAGTGTTCTCCAGGCTACCCCTCCTAAAGGATGCCCAAGTCTCCTGGGTCCCCAGTTTTTGGAAGCCTGGGGCTTTTTCAGATGCCACTAAATTCCCCAAAGAGCCCCCACCACGTAGGCCTCTTAGAACCTCCTCCTGGATCACATCCATCCTCACCCTCATTCTGGCTGGCTTCAACCCCAGCCTCCTTGACAACCTCTGATGTTTAAAAACCTTATAAGTAGTGGTGGTGTGAAGGTGAGGGTCAGGAGTGAAATAAGTATTTTTGGGACTCGATCTAAAGATGCAGAAATAATGAGGAGAAAGACAAAGAACAGAAAGACCTTTAATGCAGGTTTGAGAGAGACACGCACTGAGAATGTGGGAACTGTCTCAGTGGACAAAGGATTGGAGGTTCCTTCTAAAGATTGCCTTTTGGGGAGGGGTCTGATTAGTTGACAGTGATGGATTATTGCTATGAATTTAATGTGTGCAGGTTGGGAATTGGGGAATCTCTGGTGCGCTCAGGAAGGAAAGACAGGGAATCTGGCTTGGATCAAGAAGAAGTGGGATAAGGTGTTCTTTGTGCTTTCTTTGCCATGTTGGACCTCTGCCAGGATAACTAAGCAGGACTGTGTGGATAAAAACCTATCACTAACCCTCTGAGCATTGTTGTGATTGAGAATCCTAAAGTGTTAGGAGTTTGGCAAGAGCAGTTCTTTGCCTCTAATGTAGTAAGAAGCTGTAAAGTCCAGCCTTCTGACTCCCTGCCGCCGTCCCCATCCCTGGGCCATCCTAGAAATTCTGTCTTCCATACTCTTTCTGCTACCTGTGGTAGCCTTAGAGTTCTGCTCAAATTCCAGTTTCATTCCTACTTCAATCCATTCCATGGAACTGGAATCCATATATGCAATGGAGCCAATGTATCCACATAGATCTTAGTCTAAACTGTAATACTAAAACAAACACCTACTATATGTCATGCTAAACCAGACTACAGGCAACAAAGGCATGAGAGCCAAGCACTTCAGCCCTCTCACGTCCCCTCCTTCACAGATAGGAGGAGGGGAGCAGTCACACTGCCCCAGAGTGGACCATAGCTGGCTTTGGAAGCCATGGCTCACTTACCAGGCCCTCCAGAGGCTTGGTTGCGGGAAGGAGGGTGCAATCTTTCTGGGCACTGTCAGCAAGAAACTCTTCAGACATATTTATAGTAAATGCTACATCAGGGGATGGTGCCTAAAAGTGCCTTGGAGCATCAAATAACACCGTGGGCCCAGCGGCTGAGGTCAGGAAAAGAAGACTGATTACAGCGGGAGAGACTGAGGTTGATGGTGGAACTTCCTCAGAGTAATATCTGGAGTTGGCAATGGGGATTCCCTGAGGAAGCTGCTTCCACAGAATTTTCTCAAAAGAGGCAAGTTAGGCATCTTTTTCAGGTCGGTGGGATAGATGCAAAGGAATAGGCATACAGTAGTGATCTCTGTCCTAGTGGCACACAGATTTTCAAATAGCAGGCCTGCAAAGTATAGTCACACAAGCGGGGCTGAAATCCAGCTCTATAACCATAAAGTAACCACTTGAAGCAGCGCTACTTCTGCCCAGAGACTGGCCAGGAGGGCCAGCAGGGTCCCTGCCAAGTCTCCTGAATTTTGACAACTTGTGGGCCTGGGGGGTCAGGAGACAAGGTGAGTTACCCAGGAAGAAGGGTTGAAGGCTTCTTGGGAAGCCACAGGGAGTTGTATGTTAGACTAAGCCTAGGGTCTAAATGGTCAAGAGAAAGAGGGTATATGTGCCAGGAGGATATTCACACTAGAAGCCTCTTAACATGCCCCGCTAGCTGGAGAAGGGGACCTGAGGAGCCTGAGTGGAGAGGAAGAGGGCATGTTCCTAGGCAGAGTCCAGAGAGGGAACAATGGGGCTAGCCATCTCACAGGAAAAGGTTTGGGGACAGCAGTGCTGGGGATGGAGACCAGGCTCCCTGCTCTGGCTCTGAGGTTCCTACCTTCTCTGCACAGCAGATGGAGAAGAGGTTTGTGGTCCAGCAGCTGGGATGGAAATGAGAAACAGTGAGGGATGTGGAATTGCCCCTGTGCACCTCAGATTCCCTCTGATAGGCTTAGGGAGAAGTAATTGATATTTCTATTTTTAAAAGGTGAAGGTGTTTTCTAGGCTGTAGGTTCAGGCAGAGGGAGTAGAAGAAGGGGGGCAACGGGAGCCAGGAACAATTGCTTCTCCTATGGAAACTCAAGCTGCCCCAAGGCCCAAAGGAGCTAGTCCATTAGCTGTGGTCAGCAGCAGGAAGGGGGGGCCTTTCTCCCTCCAGGTCTTATTGCCAAATGAAAGGCAAAGTCTTAGCTCCCTCCATTAGAGCCTCGAAAAAACCAAAAAGCACAAAAACCTCCAGTCACATAAAGAAAACACACAGAACCTCTGTCTTCTGAAGGCCTGAAGCTGAGTAACTTGAGGATAAGTGGGCAGTAAGGGATCCAGGCTCCTCGGACTAGACCACAGAGGGAGGGGAGGCAGTGCCCTCCCAAAGCACTTACCAGGTTAAATCCAGACTACGATGGAATCGGAATCAGGTAGAGAGAGTCTCCTTCGACCCAGCTCCCTCTGGAACATAAGCTGAACACAGAAGGAGAGACCGTTCCCCTAGATTCTCTGGGAATGGGAGGAGGGGAGGTGTATTGAGACCTCTCCCTCCCTCGCCATGGAAATAGATTCAAAAGAAGCGCTGGGAAAACTAGTTTTAGATGGTGCTGAGGTCTTTGGGTTGCAGGTCTATCTCCCTGAGATGGTCTGTCGCCCCCTGCCTCAGTCACAGTCTTGGATACCGATGGAGAAGGGTCCAGTAAGTGTTGGGGGGGGGGTAGAGGAACCAATGAGAGACTTGACCGCTCAGAAGGGTGCAAGGAGAGAGGCTACTGGGAGTACACCCCCGCTCCCCCCTTCCCCCGCCAGAACTTGGGCTTGTCCGGTTTGACGTGCCGTGGAGGGGGCGGGAGGGGGTACTGACCCGAGGAGCAGTCCCGCGACTCTATGCTGCCCGCTGCCCAGTCCTGGCTGGGATGCTGTCCTGCCTAGAAGGGCGCCCCTTGAGACAAGAATGGAGGTAGGACTGCCGTGGGGAGGGAATGTGGATCCCTTCAATAAACCTCGCAGGGGTGGGCATAGAGTGCAGCCTGGGGTCCCCTCCTGAGGATGTGGAGGTGGGACCGGAGTTCCTGGAGAAGACTGAGAGAAGGATTATTCCTAGGTTTGGGGGTCCTGGCTAGGGCAGCGCCTCCTGCTGGCAAGAGTCTGGACCTGGGGCAGTTGCTGCCGCCTGGAGGGTGTGTGCTGCCACCCGGCAGGGAAGCCCAGGGGGGCGCTGCAGCGTGCAGGAAGGAGTCGCTTCGTTTTGCCTCGTCCTTTTTTACTCAGAACTGAGACCCGCGGCGCCAGAACCGGCCAGAGAGGTGACCTGAGATTCCCTGGGTATGGGCGCGTTTCAGCCAGGCTGTCTCCAAATGAATCCTGCAGGAAGCAAAGGGTCCGCGCCTGAGCGGGCCACATGGGCTTGTCTCCCCACCAACCCCAAGGGTGCGCCTTGAGGCGTGGGCACCGACCACGAGTCTTTTTCCTTTTTAGTCCTTTCCTCAGCCGAGGTCGGGTCCCGGCCACCGCAGGAACCGTGCGCTTTTCTTCCTGGGGTGTGGCGCTGGAGGCTGGGTGTACGGAGCAGGGGTCGGGGGCGAACAGAACCTTCCGCCTGGAGCTCGGGCGCGGGGGCAGCCTTTGAACGACTCCCGCCTGTCTGCCTACTGCGGCCGGAGGTCCAGTCCCTACCCTTCTTCCTAGGGCGAAGGTTGTGGAAGATGCGGAGGGGGAGGGGAAGAAAGGGAGGGCCAGAAATGGGGATGGAAAGACTGTGGCGACGGGGAACAGGGATCGGGATCGCGGAAAGGAAAGACGGAAGTGGAGAGAGACTATACTAAAGGCGAAGGGAAAGCAAGACTGACAGAGGCTGCGAGGAAGGGAAAGGGAGGGAGGAGAAAAGGGGAGGAACCTGGAGCCAGCAAAGGGAGCGGGCGGCGGAGCCCAGCGGGCGTGGGGCGAGGCCAGGCGTGCAGGCGGGAGCCAGTGTGCAGAGCAGCGGCCGGTCCTGCTCCTGCCTCGGAGCCCCTGGCCCGGGGGAGGGGGAGAGGCCGTTAGCCCGGTCTATGTCTTTTTCTGACTCCAGTGCAACCTTCCTGCTGAACGAGGTAACCGTGTGTGGGGGGGAGCTCCCCAGTGGGTGGGTGGAGAGCTCTGCTCCAAGCTAACAAGGCCGGCATTTAGGGGAGACTGCAGAATGGGGAGGGAGGGAATCGGAGGTGAAGACGAGGATGGAAGGGGGCACTGGCTAGCCGCTCTCCGACTGGGACTGGGATGGGAGGGGAGAACTGACTGGGGAGCCAGAACTGGTGCTAGATGAAAAGGGCTGTGCCAAGCTTCTAGTGGTACCTGTCTCTGAATTCCCTGGGGCCAGCCTAACAACTGCCTGTGCTAGACCTTCACCTGGTCCGAAACTCCAAGCTCTTGCCTCAGTTTCCCTCTTTCAGTGCCCAGGGACTGCGATCTGCCCGACTTCCTGGAACACTTGGAGGTTAGAATGTATTTTAGAGACTCCTAAGATCTCTTAACTCCCTAAGCATGTTATTTAAGCTTTTGTTCTTAAGTCCCTCTAGAGGTGTGACTGAACTGGCATGAGTAGGCAGGTGTTGGTGAGGCAAAAAATGAAAGAGGCATTGGGTAGCAACCCAGAGATTGGGGCGGAGGCACCTATGAAGCACCTGCAGGACCCAGGGGAGGAACCCAGGAATGAGGAAATAAGAGAACCCATGGGGGGGGGGTGGCATGGCAACTCATGCCTCAGGAGCAGACCTAGGCAACATTGTCCCAGAAGGAGATAAAGACAAGTAGATGTGAGAGGAAGAAGTGCTGTTGATGGCACATCTGTTGTTACCTACTGTCCCAGTGCCTGTTGTGGGCCAGGAGAGGCTCAAAAGGAGAGGCTAAGAGAAAAAGATTCAGACATGGGAGAACCACATCCTAGGAGAAGAGCTCTTTGAGGCTCTTTTTCACACCTCTCTCCTTGCTGGAGGAAGACAAGGAATTGAGATAAGATAAAAGAGGAGGATACAAAGAATGCCAAGGAACTGGGAAAGGGCATCAAAGTGTGAAGACAGTCTGAAAACTTCCAATACAGCCACGGGGCCTCCAACAAAGTTTTGTGCCAATTCCAGCAGGAGAAAGATACTGAGCAAAGCTGCACTGGTCCACCCACGTGGGTAGGAAGACTAGGACTGTCTTAAGATAAGGTCCCTTCTCTCTTTTCTTGCCAAGGAAACAGGAAAAAGTGATCCAGGTGGGAAGCCAGTGGTTTTGAGAGGTCTTCTCTTCCATGGACTGTGCCTTTTGTCATAGATTTCATCAAACCCTTTCAAATTTTGGCTTTCTGATTTCCCTCTGGCCCAGGAGAGTAAAGAGATGAGCAAGTTGCTTAACTCACTCTCCTGGGAATGAGAAATTGGGAATGGAAAAGGGCTTAGTTTAGGAGCAAGAGCATAGACAAAAGTGTGTGATCCAAGTGTAACTCACGTGTATCTCACATCTTTCTCTTGGGGCATCCAGGTGGGTATTCAAAATTTAAAGCAATAATTTTGCTTATATGAAAAAAAAAGTGGTAGATCTTTGAGAGAAGTTTATTCAGAACAAGAGATGCTACTCTTTCAAATCTCAGTGCTCCTTTAAAGACTAAGTGGTGCAAGGCTGGGGATTTAGCTCAGTAACTCAAGCACTTACCTGGTAAGCGGGAGGTCATGAGTTCATCCTGGTACAAAAAAAAAAAAAATTAAAGTGGTGCAGATAGTGGTGGTTCTGAGGTTAGAACAGGATACTGCCCACCTCACCCCCTAACCTTTCAAAGAGGGAGACTTGCTGCCCTTTTCCCCTTCCAACTCCAATGTTCCTGGATCCCACCTTCCGTTCCACCTAGAATTACACACACACACACACACACACACACACACACACACACTCTTCCACCCTCTAGTTTCTTCTCCCTTTATGTTAATCTAAAACACCCATGTTCTGTCCAGATCCCACGGAAGGCTTTAGCAATGTCTGACAACCCTTGGCAGGGAACCTCCATCCTGGCCAAACTCAGATGCAATCTGTACGTGCAACAGGTGCGGGAAGGCCTAACCAACTCACTGAAACTTACCCCCTTCTCAAGGGCAGGGTGACAGCGACCTTTGCTGCAGCCCAGCACTAGGGGGCCGGGCACCTGTTGGGCTCTTTTCACGGCGTTGGCTTGGGGTCGTCAAACCCCTACTTCCCCAGTTCTACTGCGAGGTTTGCTTTCGGAGTCGCCAGGGCACAAACGCGCCGCCCTCTCACCTGGGGCCCCCTGTCGGCCTCCCGCCTCCGCTGCCCCTCATTTTCCAGTCTACCCCTACTTCCTCCATCTCCCTCCATCCCTCCCGACACCCTCCTCGCCCCGCCGGTCGCGGTCCTGCAGCCGCGCGCCCCCACCCTCCCCTGCGCGAGCCCTTTGTTTCTCGGCGGAGTAGTTCCTGGGTTGCCGAGCGTCTCCGGCTCCGCAGCTCGCCTCGCCCCGCCTCCTCACTGCCAGGACCCGCCCCGCCCGCAGCCTCTCCTCCCTTCCTCCCCGCCACCCCTGCCCCGGAGGTGCCGGGGACCCACCTTCCCCCGCCGGTCCGCTGGCTCCCGGGCCGCGCGGCCCCCGCCACCCCCGCCGTCCCCGGAGGGGGTCAGGTGGGCGGGCACTATTGTTGTGGGAGCCGGCGCCAGATTCCTCGGCGGCGCTCGGGGTGGGATCGGCAGGGTTTGGGGGGTGGGGAGGGGGAGCAGTGATTTGAGCTCGGAGCAGCTGGTCCTCGCGGCTAGCTCGCTCTTTCGCACTCCCTCGCTCTCCGCCGCCGCCCGCAGGGCTGCCGGGCTCGGTGGCATCTCGGGCGCGGCCCGCTGTCCTCGCCTCTGCCTCCGGGCCGCTCCCGCCCCCGGCGCCGCGCGCCTCCCCCCACCCGGACTCCCCCATGTATGACGACTCCTACGTGCCCGGGTTTGAGGACTCGGAGGCGGTGAGTGCCCACGGAAGGGTGGGGGTGGGGTAGTTGGGGTGACAACCACCACTGCCTTCAACCCTTCCCCCAGTTCAGGACTTTGCAAAACGCCTCCGTGGCGGGGCAGGGCGCACAGCAGGGCGCACTAGGAAAAGGCTCCACGCTGCTCTCGACCTGGACCCAGGGGCGGGGTATGTGCCCGGAGGAGACAGTGTTGGGGGAAGGCTCGAGCAGGTGGCCCCGGACACCTAGGACAGAGGCAGAGGGAGAAAGGGCTGGAGGCTGCGGGCTCCGAGGTTGTGGAGAAGGAATACGAAATGTGTGGAGTTCCAAATTCTGGGTATATAGGGTCTGAACACAACATCTGGGGAAAACCTGGCACTTCTGGGGAGGGGGACACTCCGGACCTGCACATCAAGTAAACGACAAATTGGGGAGCTGGGAGAACATCAGAAAGTCAGGTAATAGCCTCTTCAGACAGAAGCATAAAACTTGAGCCCCTTTATTCCTTTCTCCGCTGTCCCCCATCTCTGTGTATTGGCCTGTCTCCTGCCCTCCCTCCCCCAAGCCCAGTTTCTCTCCTAGCTAAAACCTGGGCACCCTGCACATGGGTGGGCCATCTGACTGAGGTTGTCCATTCCCCAGCCTCTTGCAGAGCCTTTCTCAGAGCAGTGGGAGTCCTGAGCTGCTCAGCATGAAGGGCCTGGAGGTGAGGCCAGAGGAGCTAAGGGCCTGGGGATGGAGAGGAAGCGCTTTGCTCCGAGAACCAGGCAACCGATAAATATTTAATTCTCCTCTTTGCTTTTATCTCCTGACCCACTGAGACAAATCAGATCATTAGGCAGTGATTTCAGGAGCTCAGAGAGAAGGGAAGATGCCTGGAAAGATGGGGAGCAACCCCTTGGAGCTGCTGCCCTTTCTCAGACATCACACAAGAAGGCCTCATCCCACAGGGAGAGGACCACTAGATGGCTTGTAAGGGCCTGGAGAGGTGTGGAGGGTATATACATCCCAGGTCCGGAAGTACTATGGGGTCAAGTCTTCTCCCATCTTGGCTAGATGAGTGCTGGGGTGTAGAACAGACAGCTGTCAGTCCTTCCCAGGGACTGAGCTCCTTCTGGGCCCAATCTTCCAAGGCCCCTCTAGGGCTAATTACATCACAGCTAGAGCAGATGATTTTCAAGGCTCTGGTGGGCACCTCTTTCTGGCAGTTGAAGGGACAGCTGGCCTAGCCCAGGGTGCCAAGGTGAGCTTGAGAACAAGCGTCTCTGTGGGATTGCAGGGCCCTAGGAGGTTCTTCCTTCCCTGGTGAGAAGGCAAGGGCTGACACGTGGATGAGTTTTGAGATGCTGACCCGATGCTCCCTCGCCCTTTCTGGTTCCTGGATCACCCTCCCCCACCTCTTCCTCTTGCCTGGCTCTTTGCTCTCCCTGAGGCCCCCTCTGAAGCAGTAGGAGGGAGATCAGGCTCTAAATAAATCCACCGGCTCATCTCCCTCCTCTCCTTCCCCCATGCCAGGCAAGAGAGGAGCTGTAGCCTGCCCACACACTCACCAGGCAAGGGGGGCACCACCAGGGCACTATGCCAAGTCTGGCAGCTCCCAAGTATTGAGCTTCTGGCTGTTTTGGCATAGCAGGGGAAGGGGAGCTAAGACTCCAGAATAAATTTGCCAGGGCAGCCCTGACCTCAAATGATACCAGAACACCAGAATGGTGAACCCCAAGGACTTGGGAATCATGAAAAGGGGGTTCCATTCCCAGTACAACTCATTGAATATTGAGGTTTTTCTCTCATTCCTTTCCTAGGGTGAGAAGCTAACTACCCAGACAGCCCAGGCAGAGCATGAACATCACTAAATTAGGCTGAGCATGTGGGCAGCAGAGAGCACCAAGCTGGGCATCTAGGCGGATTCTGATGTAACAGAGCAAGTGGTCACCCTGCCTTGCGGCTTATCTCCTGTCCTGTTGCCTCTACCCCCTCAGCCACCTGTGTCCCACAGAAATAGCTCTGTGTCCTTAGAACCCAAGAAAGAAGGTCCCCTTGCCCTGTGCAGAGGTTCTTTCTGGGGTTCAGCCTCTCTTTGTCCTCCAGGAAGCCTCATCTTGTTCTCAGGGGAGATGGAGAGAAGCAGACAGCTGTCACTCATGTAAAGTGAAAGCCATCCCACCCTCCATCCAGGCCTGCTGCAGACATTGCCTTTTGCTTAGGCTCTGAGCCCGGGCTGACTCTGAGCTGAGCAGCCCCCTTGCCCAAGGCAGGAGGGTGTGGAGGGCAACAGGTGTATGATTTTACCTTCTCCACTACGAGTCTTGCTTTGTTGTCCTCTGTAAGTGGTCACACTCGCTGGACTTGAGAGAATGTACCTCTACACATACTCCTTTATCTAGGCTCTTACCTTTTCTCTGCCACTGACATCTCAGAATTGAGAAAAGTAACTCTTTTGGCTTCTTCCAATAAAGAAGGGAAGCTGGGGCACAAAAGATTCCCCTTTCCCTTAACTGAGGGGAAAACTCAGATATCCTTTTAGCCACTTACTTAGAGTCCAGCTTCCATTATGTGTTTGGTCATCTGTCTTATGGCCTTGAAGGTTAACTCTATAACTCTTCAAATGCACCCCTATCACCCAAACGCCCTTCATGTGGGCAGGAGACATAGACCGTCCTTACTCATGTTGCCCAAAACCCGCTCCCCATATCCCCAGGGTCCTATACCTCTGTTAGGTTGCCTGGCAGCAGCATGGCCTTTCTCCAGGGCCTGTTATCCCTTGGGCCTGGGAAGGGAGTGGGGAGATGTAGGCTGAATGGGAGGCGAAGCCCAGCTTCACCTGTGCCAGGGGCAGAGCGTCATGTTGCCCTCATTGTCTGTGACTTATTTGCTGCACAAACCCGGCCACTTGCCCTAGGAGATGTAGGAGAAAAAAAATGTACAGATTGGAGAAAGTAAAGGGTGGGTAACTTCCAAGAGTTGTCAGTCAGCTTTGGGCCCAGGCTTTACCCTTAAAAGACCAGGATTCACCATTTGAGAGCGTCCAAAGCATTGTTGGGTAGGGAAAGTGGGACCTAAGTGGGGAGGTGGTGGCTATATCCTGACACTCAGAACCAACCAGCATTTTTTTTTTTTTTTTTGGTCTGTTTTGCTGTTTTGTTTCATTGCGGTTTTGAGACAGGGTCTTACTGTGTCATTTAGACTGGCCTTAAACTCACTCTATGGCCCAGACTGGCCTCAGATGTGAGGCAGTCCTCCTGTCTCAGCCTCCCAAATTCTGGGATTATAGGACTGCACCACATCTGGTTCATTGCTGTACTTTTGCAGGACATAATAAAGGGATAATGTCAAGGTTGCATTGCAGGCTGGTGTGAATAGGAGAGCTAATGCTTTTGGATTCTCCAATATATCATCTTCAGTATATCTCCTTTCCCTCTGCCTCAGAAGACATGGTAGAAGGGAGAAAAAGGAGGAAAAAGTAAAAATCTCTGCCCACTGGGCATGGTGGTGCACTCCTGTAAGGCCAGCAGGCTGAGGCAGGAAGATCACTGTGAGTTCAAGGCCAGCCTGAACTACACAGGAGAACCTGTCTAAAAAAAAAAATCAAACAAAAACAAAGAAAAAAAACTCAGTTCAAGGCTATGGTATTAACAGGGTTGGGGGTGGGGCAGTGACCCTGATCTTTCCAACATGGATTGTACCAGCCTGTCTGCATCCGAGGGGTATTGGAGCCCTTTTTGGGGGTGCAGGAACATAGAAGTCCAACCTCCTCCTAGAAAATGGAGAGCCCAGAAGTGAGCAGTGTGGGGCTAGAAGGGCGCCTCTATGGTGTCGCACACCTGAGGCCAGGAGTCACAGCCTCTCTCCCATCGCAGGGTTCAGCGGACTCCTACACCAGCCGCCCATCTCTGGACTCAGACGTCTCCCTAGAGGAAGACCGGGAGAGTGCCCGGCGTGAAGTAGAGAGCCAGGCCCAGCAGCAGCTCGAGAGGGCCAAGGTATGTCCTCTGGGCAGGCTAGACGGGCTGTGGGCAGGTTGTCCTTGAATGCAGAAGAGCATAAGTGCTGGGCAGAGGCTCTGGATGACACTGAACTCCCACTGTGGCCTCTGTCCTCCTGATGGGGTGTCAGAGCAGGAAAGGGGTCCTGAGGTGCCTCTCACTTGCACTGATGGTCAAATTCTCCAGCACAAACCTGTGGCATTTGCTGTGAGGACCAATGTCAGCTACTGTGGCGTACTGGACGAGGAGTGCCCAGTCCAGGGCTCAGGAGTCAACTTTGAGGCCAAAGATTTTCTGCACATTAAAGAGGTGATTGGCATGCCCTCCCCACAGCAGCCTCCGGCACATACTTTTCTAGCCCTGCTCTAGATCCCAGTGCCTCTTACTTCAGATCTTTGTCTATGAATAAGAAGTTCCAAACCTCTCCCTTCTGACCCTTACACCTGTGCACCCTGCTACCCAAGACCTGGTCACTCAGAAGGGGTTCCTGCCCTTCTGAGACCTGGCTTGACCTTTAGTTTCCATACCTGTAAAGTGTGAAGTTAGATCAGCTCCCTCTGAGCTCCCCTGTAACAGCTATGCTGCCACACTCTGAAATCCTGTGGCTTAACTTGGCCCCTTCCCTCCAGCACCTCCTGTCCGTTGCCCCACTTCCTCCAACCAGCTCCCCAAGGCCTCCCCAGCTCCTTAATATTGAAGCCAGCTATCTTACCACCCCTTCCTGCTCCACCCCAACCCCAGAAGTACAGCAATGACTGGTGGATCGGGAGGCTAGTGAAAGAGGGCGGGGACATCGCCTTCATCCCCAGCCCCCAGCGCCTGGAGAGCATCCGGCTCAAACAGGAGCAGAAGGCCAGGTGAGAGCAGGACTGTGACTCAGTAAACACACACACACCCCAAACACGTCACTGCACATACCACACATGCATGCATAAGCCCCTGCACAAATACACAGCCAGTGCCAGCACATTGACATCTCACAAGTCTGCAGTCTTTCGCAGACATGCACACATATCCCATATATTCTGCTCTCAAAAAGTAGGTGAGAGCAGAGTGTGGTGGTGCATAGGGAGCACTAGGGAGGCTGAGACAGGCGAATCAGCAGTTCTAGGCCAGCCTAGGCTACTTAGCAAGTTCCAGGTAGCCTGCGCTACAGGGGAGCCACTGTCTCAAAAAAAAAAAAAAAAAAAATCAGAGGCCAGGGATTTAGCTCAGCAACGTAAGCATCTACCTGGCAAGCGCAAGGTTGTGAGTTCCATCCCTGAAACCAAAAAAACAATCCAAAAAAAGTGGGTGGGAATTTGTACAACCATTAAATGTACAGAACCTACACAGAGAAACATACCATCTCTCTCCCCCACCCCTCCCTCTCCTTTTCCCCTTCTGCTTCTCTTTCTGTTTTTCCTTCCCTTCCTCCTTCTCTCTTCCTGCCTTTTGCCCACCGATGTCCTCCCTTGCTTCTCAGGAGATCTGGAAACCCTTCTAGCCTGAGTGACATCGGCAACCGACGCTCTCCTCCTCCATCTCTAGGTAGCCTCCCCCAGAGCGGGTGACTAAGACATGGGCAGGGGCTCTCCACAGTGAACTGCAAGGGAAGGGGCTGGTGGAGGGATATGAAAAGCTGGGAGTGGCCTAGTGCTCCTCTGGGGAAGGGACACCATGCCTCCAGGGCCTTTTCCCTTCACCAACTTTAATCTTTTATTTCCTTTTCCAAAAAGCCAAGCAGAAGCAAAAGCAGGTGAGTCAAGAAAGGGACTTGGGCTGGGGGGCTCATGGCTCTTGGCTCTTAGCCCTGGGGAACTTTTCTAGGTAGTCATTGTTAGTGGGACAGATCAGAGGGGAGGGAACCCAGAACTTCTGACCTCCTTACCCCCTAAATCAGGTGTAAGGCAGGCACCAGGGCCATGAATTTTATGCCCTGTTCATTTTGCAGGCAGAACATGTCCCTCCATATGATGTGGTGCCCTCCATGCGGCCTGTGGTGCTGGTAGGGCCCTCTCTAAAAGGTTATGAGGTGAGATAAGATCCTTGACCCCCCAAAAACCACCCTTGTCCAGCCACCACAGAGACAACGGGAGGAGTATTCTCCCCATCAGGGTCTGGAGGGTGGAGGGGTGGACCCTAGGCCATGCACCAGGACATTGCCTCTCTCCAGGGTCCTTGGTTAGTGCTGCCCCCCTCCTCAGGTCACAGACATGATGCAGAAGGCGCTCTTCGACTTCCTTAAACACCGGTTTGATGGCAGGTAAGCTGGCGTGGAGTGGTCTCAGAACCCAAGCTCACAACTCATGTCCACATGCCTGAGGCAAGTCTCCTCTATAGGCCTAGTTAGGGAGCTGGATAAAGTGAGGCTGAGACTTAAATGCCAGCTGTGACTGTCCACCCCTCACCCCAGGATCTCCATCACCCGAGTCACAGCTGATCTCTCCCTGGCAAAGCGATCTGTGCTGAACAACCCCAGCAAGAGAACCATCATTGAGCGCTCCTCAGCCCGCTCCAGCATTGGTGAGGAACCTCTTCTCCTGCTTCTCTGCCCACACCGGCACCACTACCTTTTCCCTTCCCCACCTCCTTGTGTTTCTGCCCCTCTCCTCGGCCAGCCCCAGGATCTTCAAGAGCCCATCCCCACCTCCTCCATTCCCTGGCCCTCTTGCCTGGCCAGGCTTCTAGTTCCTTCCTGTCCACCCTTGGGGCCCCTCAGAGCCATGGGAGTAAGCAGTAGGTGGAGCCCCTGTTGAGCACTGCCACTCCCCCTCCTTAGCTGAAGTGCAGAGTGAAATTGAGCGTATATTCGAGCTGGCCAAATCCCTGCAGCTAGTAGTACTGGATGCGGACACCATCAACCACCCAGCACAGCTGGCCAAGACCTCACTGGCCCCCATCATCGTCTTTGTCAAAGTGTCCTCCCCCAAGGTAAGTTAGCTGGGTGGTGGGGGAGGCCTCAGAGCTGCCCACTAGAATGTGGCACACCTGCGCCAGGGCATCAGTTTCCTTTTTTTTTGCTGCCTCTTATACCTGCTACTGACCCTGCATCACAAGTGAGTGACATGCCCAGTTCTTTCCAGGCCCATCTCTGCCTCTCCTCCTCAGGTACTGCAGCGGCTCATTCGCTCCAGGGGGAAGTCCCAGATGAAGCACCTGACTGTGCAGATGATGGCGTATGATAAGTTGGTTCAGTGCCCTCCAGTGAGTGCCTGGCTCAGCTGCTTTTGTGCCTCTTCTTTCAGGGCCATGGGAGAGGAGAGATGGGTGGGAGCTTCTGCCAAGAGGAAGCCAACATTCTCCCTTCACCCTCCTTCCCCAGGAGTCATTTGATGTAATTCTAGATGAGAACCAGTTAGAGGATGCCTGTGAGCACCTGGCCGAATACCTAGAGGTTTACTGGCGGGCCACCCACCATCCAGCCCCTGGTCCTGGACTTCTGGGCCCGCCCAGTGCCATCCCTGGACTTCAGGTACCTTTCCCAGTGGGTATAGGTATGCAAGCTAAGCCAGCCAAACAAAGCAAGATTCCTTTCCTTGTCCAGAAGAACGTCCTTGGTCTGCAGTTTAGCAGGCTGGGGAGCGGTTGAGTTCTGTGTAGAGAGCTGGTAGACCTGGGCAAAGAGCTTCTGACTGCAGAGTGAATCAGTGAATTGGTAATCAGAGACTGGCTTTCTAGGCATCAAGAGAGACATCTCCAAACCCTTCTCCCAGTCAGTATTGAAGACAGAGCCTGAATATGTAGGAGTCAAGAGCTCCAGTTTTCTGTGTCGACCAAGAATGTTCTAGCATGCTTCTCCCTCACATTTATTTCCCATACTTGGCAACTAAGAGGGAAACTGAGAGCTGAGAGGAAAGAACCCCCTACCATGTCAGAGGTGGGAGGGAAGCAAAGGCCAGCTCGGTGCTTCTTAACCAAGAGCTGTTATGTGCCACCTAGAACCAGCAACTGCTGGGAGAGCGAGGCGAGGAGCATTCACCACTGGAGCGGGACAGCTTGATGCCCTCAGATGAGGCCAGCGAGAGCTCCCGCCAGGCCTGGACAGGATCTTCACAGCGTAGCTCCCGCCACCTGGAAGAGGACTACACAGATACCTACCAGGACCTGTACCAGCCTCACCGCCAACACACCTCGGGGCTGCCCAGTGCTAATGGGCATGATCCCCAAGACCGGCTCCTAGCCCAGGACTCAGAGCACAACCACAATGACCGGAACTGGCAGCGCAACCGGCCTTGGCCCAAGGATAGCTACTGATAGCATCCTGTTGCCCTGCCCTGGCAAGCACTGGCATAACTGGCTGGGACACCCACTGCAGGCTGGTTGGAGTTAGACTGGCATTAGGCTGCCACTACACTCAGCGCCCACAATCCCCTGTCCAGCCCCAGCTCCAGGGCTGCCTGTGGTCCCAAGGTTCTGGGAGCAGCAGGGGAACCCTTACCTCCTGGGCACAGTGACCCCCTAGACTCCATTCCAGGTACTAGCTGTGTTTTGCGCCCCTGGCATCTTTCTCGCCTCCTGCACAAGATGCTGCCCCATTGGGCAGTGCTCTCAGGCCAGGATCTCCTTAGCAGGGGTCTTCCCATTAGACTCAGGGAAGGAATCCCTGAGTAGCTGGAGATGGGGGTGTGGACACCATGGCATGAGGAAGAAACAAGGTTCCTGAGCAGGCACAAGTCCTAACAGTCAAGGGGCTCAGGGCTTGTGTTTTGGGGTTTGAGGGCCTCTGCTTACCTCACTTCCATACATCAGTAATAAGACAATCAAAGCCCAACAGGGTGGCACTCCACCTGTGTGCTGGTGTGGGCCACCCACTGGAGCAGCAGGAAGGTGAGGCTGGGCCAAAAAGACCCCAGCTGCAGGGCTTGGAGGGAAGGGCCCTCCTTACCCAGCCAGCAAGCTTAGCATCTGACAGGACCAGGGACTCAGAGCATGGTCACGCTAAGGGGCACAGGAGCCATCCTGCACTGGGAATTTAGGAAGATGGAAGGTTTCGTTGCCTATCCTTTTGCCCTTGCATCCTGTCACTTCTGTTCTTGTCCTTCATGCCTCCTGAAGATAGAAGCCCTAGACTTTGCCCCCTAACTCACTGCTGCTTGTTAGGTTAGGGATAAATAGGGAGACGTAGGACATAGTGGACAGCCCCAAGGCCTTGTCTACCTGGCTACCCTTGCCTTATGGCTCTAGCGTGTGACCTACAGAGCATGTTCCACAAGACCCTGCCCCACCTCAATGTCATCACCAATAAAACACCATGCACCGTCCCTCAGGTGTTTGTTCCGTGTCTATAAGCTCAGGTCCCTCCCTGCGTGGCCCAAATCTGGTGGAAGTAAAGAAATATTCTGGCCTTTCCTTTCTCCAAGGATCCACTGAGAGAAATGGGAAAGGGGCAGAGCAGTGGGGGTTGCTGTATTCCCAGGCACTCCTTCCTCATGCTCAAATGTCCGGAGGGAGACACTGGGCTGCACAGAAGGGACTTAGTCTGAGTGGTACAATAGCCACAGCTTTCTACTGGCCTCACCTTGAACTAGAGTCCCTAGAAACAGCTGCAACTTGAATTCTGCACACTAGTCCAGCTCTGAGGGGCAAGGAAGAACATGTGAGCTGTGGGGGAAGGATGCAGCCTTCTTGCAACCTAACTCAGCTGGGTCCAGCTTCCCATGCCTCAAGAACTCGTGCCCACTCCTCCTTCACTGTCCCCTCCACGGAGCAAGGTACCCAGCGAAGGTCCTGAGGTAAGCTGTCAGGCACATGGTGATATAATAGGTGAGTGGGTCCATCTCACTTGCCCAAATTAACAATTTTCCTCTCTCACCCTTGCACAAAGCTCCCTAGAGGGTGTTTAGACCAGGACCCTAAGTTCCACGAGACCAGAGCAGGAGCAGGGAGATGCATTATGATCCCACTGCCATGGCTTTTCAATCTCCCCTCGGGCACTGCCTTCAAGCTTAGTCTATCCTGAAGCCTTAGGCTTCTCTCTCAGACTTTCAGGTCCCCAACCAGTCCACTGCGCCCAGTGTTCTCCCTCCTGTCCTTTGGGATGCTGGAGGGAACCTGGGAAATGAGCTTAGCTAGAACTACACGCAATCTTAATATTCATTATTTATTCTCAGAACATATAAACTCATCTTCTCAGAGAATAGAAAACAGAAATTTCACTCGGTGACTTAAAGATGGATATAGACAGCTCACCCTGTCCCCATATCTACTAAAAAATCCCCTGGGGGAGGGATGCCTAGAGTGCACAGCACCCTTTGGCACAGGCCATGCACACTCCTGAGGGCTCTCGTCTTGTTTTATATTCCAAATGGGAAAACGGCTGTCGAAATGAGAGTCCAAAGTCCACAATCCTCACAGTACCAGATCCCGGATCCCCTAGGTCATCCAGGGCTACGGTGCAGCATACACACACTTATGCCATCAAGCCAGTACTGAAGAAGGTCCCTTCCAGGCAGGTGTCTGTTCAGTCTGGGGTAGTACCACCAGCTGCCCCCTTCCCTGGCAAGAGCTGACAGCCCAGTACAATCTTAATGTCACGCCCAAATGGCAGAATGGCCACAATCCGATGATTTGCTCTTGTTGTCCCCTATGGCATCTTTCTGTCCTTTTGCAGTCTCACACTCAAGCCTCCAGATCTGAGGGCCAAGGCCAGGAAGACTTGCTGTTTTCTAAGTCCCAATAACCCAAGAGAGAACCTGGAAAGAGGAGAGTTTTGAGGAGCAGGCATCAGGCAGCATCAGAGCATGCCTTAAACCCACAGGAGCGCTGCTTCAGGCGAAGATGGTCTCCTCCCGGCGCTTTTTGGTGAGGATGGTGCCTGGCTTGTGCTGGGCATCTGGGTGGTTGGCTAGCTCTGGGGGGCAGGAAGACACTGGGCTCTCCAGGATGGCTTGCTTCAGCTCATAGAACACAGCAGAGTCCTCTTTGGTGAGGAAGGTGATGGCCACACCACTCTTGCCTGCTCGTCCTGTGCGGCCAATGCGGTGGATATAATCTGGGGAACAGGAAGAATGTTACTGGGGACCACTCTAGAGACCTTGATAAGTGGTACCTAAAGCATCCACTCCTAAAGGTATCTTCCTCCCCACTGCATCTCTATGGGCAGGAAACCCACCTCCCACTGCCTGCATCTGATGCACCTGCCCCTCTCCACTACTGACTGCAATCGCCCCATTCTCCTAACTCTGAGGACAGAAGTACTAGCCTATGTGCTGGGACAAAAACCCAGATAAGCATAAAGGGCAGAGGCTCTTCTCATCAGGATATTCACCTCTAAGTGGGCAATACGGGCTCCTCATTACAGCACCCTGACTGAGCAGCAGCGTGTAAGGAGCTGCACCTGACTGGACTGAAACCACCTTCCCCAAAACTTACCTTCAATATTTTTGGCCATATCATAGTTGACAACCATAGATACATCCTGAATGTCGATACCACGACCAGCCACATCTGTAGCCACCAAAATATCCTTGGCACCAGCCTTGAGGTTGGACAGTGCAAACTCTCGCTGTTCCTGGCCTTTTCCACCATGCAGTGTACAAGCGTTATACTGCAGGAAGAACAGTAAGGTGAAGGCACAGCAAAAGGGCACAGGAAGATATAAAAGGAAAGGCGTTATGAAGAGTTGAGGGGAGCAGCAGGTGAATACAGAGAAAAAGCCAAGAATGAGTGCAACTGAAAGAGGAGAGAAGCTGGGTATGGTGGTGCATGCCTGTAATCCCAGCCCTGGGGAAGCTGAGGCAGGAGGATCGCTGCAAATTCAAGACCAGCCTGGGCTACAAAGTGAGTTCAAGGCCAGGCTGTACTGCATAGTGAGACGCTGTCTCAAAAAGGAAAAAAAAAAAAAAAAAAAAAAAAAGCGAGAATAGGTGAACTGCAGGGATAGAGGAGAGCAGTGTGGGGTGACAGGGACCACAGGGTAAGGTCAAAGGCAAACCACTCCAGGAAATGAGGAGTCTGCCAGATGAGAAGTTCTCTGTAAGATCAGGGCAAAAAGCAGGGATCAAGAAATTTAAGGAAGTCAAAGGGCTGACTCTTCCCTCAAGCACTAGTATCAGTACAGGACATTGGTTATCAACATCTCCCTCCTAATCCCACCATCTTCTTTCCCAGACAGATAAGACAGCCTCAGACCTGGCCCAGTGGTCTTACACACCTTCTTCCTGGCCCTGCCCTACTCAGATGCAGCCCTGAGGCAGCTTGGGCTACACTAGTGGGATGGACAGGCAGTCTTTGCTCTTTCTCCTGATCTCCTCAAACATTTTTCTCCCTTTGGCCCTGACTTGCTGAATCCTGAAAAGGCTAAGGAACAGATGAGAATTAAAAGCAAGGGCCTAGGCTCCTGTAGTTTCAGAAAGCACCACCACAGATGCCACTGACTTCCAGACATACCCCCATCTTCTCCAGGGATTTAGCCAACACATCACAACCCTTCTTCTGGTTGACAAAAATGATGATGGGTGGATCAAAGCCTTGTTCCAAGATTGCCAACAGCTTTTTCCTGAGGAAGACGACAAAAAGGAGATGCATAATACTTCCCTACTCCAAGTGAAATACCCAATTTTGACCTATGCACACCAATAGGTAAAGGGTCTTTAATGCTGGTAAGCACTCCAAAGAAGAAACAGAGGTTCTTCAACATAGTTGAGCAATTGCCCTGCAGCCACCACTTACACTGAAGTCCTTGAAGCTCTTTCCCCTCCACCTCATTTCCCCAGCTCAGCTGCTCCCTTACCTCTTCTCTGACTCAGACATGAGGAACACCTTCTGTTCCACACGCTCATGAGGCTTGCCTGCAGAGCCAATGTATACCACAGCAGGTCGCCGAAGATAGCTCCGGGCCAGACGTTCTACCGCTGGCGGCATGGTGGCCGTGAACATGACTGTCTGTGAAAACAGGAGGCTCAGCCCTGGGCCCAGGCAGACACAATCACGTATCTACTCTCACAGCAGCCACTCAGCCCAGGCTAAAGAATATCAAGTGAGTCCTGCTGAAAGGCTATCACCTCAGAAAACAGTATCCTCTGCCTTCCCATTTTCACCCATTGGCTATTTTTTTGTTTTGTTTTTTGTCTTTTTCGTTTTTATCGGTACCAGGGATCGAACTCGCGACTGCCTGCTTGCAAGGCAGGCACTTATGCCGCTGAGCTAAATCCCCAGCCCCTCACCCATTGGCTATTTACACCTTATGATGACAGTAAGAGCCAAGTCTGCTAGCTGTGGGCCAAGTAGTAGCACAGTTTTTTGGCATTATTTTTCCAAGGCTAATCTAATGGCTCCATCCTTAGGGCTGATAGAGGGCTGTACCTAGGTATACCTTATCATTCTCTGCACCCACCTAAGGCAAGAAGGGCCTGAGACCTGGTTTGCCAACGTGCCCACACTTTCCCAGCCCAGGAAACCATCCTTACTTGTCGGTATTTATGCTTTCCTGACTCAAAGTTAGCCAACATCTTTTCAGGGTCCTCAGCCTCATCTGTGTCTGGCTTCTGGTTGCTGACAGGCATGTGCTCCAGAATCTTCTGGACATCTGGCTCAAAGCCCATGTCAATCATCCTATCTGCCTCATCCAGAACCACGTAGGTACAGCGGCTTAGCACCAAGTAGCGGTTTTCCAGCACATCAATCAGACGCCCTGGGGTAGCGATCACAATCTGTGGAGTAAAGTGGAATCATACACAGCCCCAGTAGGAGCACCCTTTTCTCCATAAACTCCTCACACACTTGGGCAACTGACTTCCGATTCTAAAGAACAGGGACCCCAAACTTCAGTGAGTCAGATGTTCCTGAGAGCTGACATGGAATCACTTGCTGCTATGTTAGATTTTTCCAGGAATAAATGGGTCTGAGCAAGACTGAGGAGTTAAAAAGAAGGGGAAAATCCAAATGAATTTCTTAGAAGGGAGAAAAACTAAAAAATTCTGTAGAAGAGATTATATAAAGAAGTCTTCAGAAGACTCAAGGTCTAAAGTAAAATTTCTAAAGGCTCTCATCCCTTTTTCTAAGAAAATGCAGAAGCAATGACATGGTTTGGCAGAGAAATCAGAACACAGGCTTTGACTATGAAACCTCAGCTCTGCCAATTACCAGTTCTGTGTGTAAGTTCAGGCCAAGTTATTAACATGAGCCTCAGCTTCATCCATAAAATGCATACATATTTCCTACTCTTACATGGTTAATGTGAGAATCAACGAATGAATGTGTGTGTGTGTGTATCCCTGAGGCATCATCTGGGGCCTTTTTAAAAAACAAAACAAAACAAAACAAAACAAAAACAGGGTCTTACTATGCAGCTCACTTTGCGGTCCAGACTAGTCTCAAACTTGCAACAATCCTCCTGCCTAAGCCTCCTGAGTATTGGGATTATAGGCATGAACCACCATGCCTGGCTCTGGACCTTTCTTCATTTTATTGCACATCTATTCCAGGAGCTAGAAACAAATCCCCAAGACAGAAAGACTTCCCAAACAGCAGATGGCTGCTGGCTGTGAATACAAACCTCACAACCCATGCGCAGTCTGAAGCCCTGGTCTTCTCTGGAGATGCCACCAATAACAGCTACAGTGCGGATGCCTAATGGTTTCCCAAACTTGATGGTCTCTTCCTCAATCTGCTGAGCCAACTCACGAGTGGGAGCCAGAATGATAGCGTAAGGGCCCTGGTCTGACTCTTCAATCCTATGGTAAACAGGGTGTCCCACAACTTCATAAGCTTTGGACCATAAACAGGAGCAAGACAAAGTCACTCTTAAGGATAGTCATGGGAATGGGAAGGCTTAGCAATTCCATGTAAAAATCAGAGACTTCAGGATAACAAATTTCTCTAGGGACTAATTCTTGCCAGCCACAAAATCATCCACTTCTTTGATTTTTTCCAGGGCTGAATGGGATAATCCAATTATCTCTTAACACCCAACACAAAATAAGGAAGCTTTTGATTATAAACTTAAAAAACAAAGGGGCTGGGGATTTAGCTCAGCGGCATAAGTACCTGCCTTGCAAGCAGGCGGTTGTGAGTTCGATCCCCAGTACCGGAAAAAAAAAAAAAAACTTAAAAAACAAATATCAGGTGGTGAGGATTTTGGCTTAGTAGCAGAGTACTTGATTGGTATGCATGAGGCCCTGTATTCAATCCCTAGCACTATAAAAAAAAAACCCACAATGCTCTGCTGTGTTCACTTTTCCTCCCTAGCTATACCCTCTCATCTTGATTGAGGTGGCACTGACCCTACCTGTCAATTTTGGGAAGTGTAGTGATCCACACCAGCAATGGGATAAGAAAGGCTGCTGTCTTGCCACTGCCAGTCTCAGCCACACCAATGATGTCACGATTCTGTAGTCCAATGGGAATTGCCTGACGCTGGATAGGTGTTGGCTCCTGCAGTAACCCAGAGAAAGAACAATGAGTACCTGGCTACTGCTAATGCAGTGTGCACACATGCCAGCTTAATGTACTTGGGAGGTCTACAGGAAAGGAGGCACAAGAAGAAACACAATTCCCCAGAGTTGAATAACATTAACAGGTAGAGAAGGCATCAAATAGTCAAGGAACAAAGTTCTTTTTTTTTTTTTTTTTTTGTCTTTTTCATTTTTTATCGGTACCAGGGATCGAACTTACGACTGCCTGCTTGCAAGGCAGGTGCTTATGCCGCTGAACTAAATCCCCAGCCCTGGAACAAAGTTCTTATTCCCAAACTAAATTTGGATCCTAGAATGAACACAGCAGGTCTCCTAAATTAATCTGTCCCTCCTTACCTTATAGCCACACTTATCAATGACCTCCAATATATGTGGAGGCAGAGAAGAGTCTTTCCAGGACCGGATAGGATTGGGGATCTTGCCACCTTTGGTGGTGATACTGTAGTCCTCACGGAAGATCCGCCAGTCCCTGTCTGTCATCTCATCTAACTTCTTCTGGGACCAATGACGATCATCCCAGCGCTGCTTAGCTTCCTTCTTACGAAGTTTTCGAAGTCTTGCCCTGAAGCAGGTTAAGGATTAAATCGAATCAAGACCTTCCAGTCCTTTCTGCAGAGACTCTGGACTTTGCCCAATTACCCTGGATCCCAACCACTCACTCCTCCTGTTCCTTTTCTTCTAAAGTTCTTCTCTTCTCCATTAGGTCTCCATAGAAACGTGACTGCTCTCGTTTCTGCTGCTTTAGGTCAATGCCTGCAATGAAGCCTCGCCCCAACAACTGCACCTGGTGCCGTTCTTTGTACCTGGGTTTGAGACAGGAAAGAGAGAGCTGTTACAGCTGTTACAGCAGCAGACAGGAAGAGGAGACTGGCAACATGCACCATTTTTTCTTCTCGGCCAGTGTCTTTCCTCTCCCGAGCACTGAACATTAGGTTACCAATTTCCCGTCCTAGCTTGTCTTACTTGTCCTACCCCTGCTGCTGGTAGCTCTTTCTAGAGCTGCCCAGAGTGAAAGACCCAGCACTCAGGCCCAGAGCCACTCACAGAGGGTTGTAGTCAATGGATGTGTCTTCCGATGCATCCCACTCAAAGACAAACTTTCGGTCATTAAGATGCCTTGTTCGGCGCCGCTTTTTGATACCACCCAGGTAACGCTCCTGCCTCGGAAGACAGCACAAAGTCCATCAACCTCAGGGTTGGTGAAATTGTTAAATTTCTAACTCCTAGTACCTCAAATCCTACATGTAGAGACCACAATGACCAAAGGCGTCATTTTTGTGTGCACACCTTAATAGCATGCAGTTCCTTGCTCTTATCCTTCTCTTCCCGGATCTTCTGCCGTCCTTCCTCATCCTCATTCCCATTGGTCTCCCGCTCCATCCTCTCCCTCCGTTCCCGACGTTCACGTTCTTGCGGGTCTTCTGCAGACCAAACAGAAAAGCTGCAGGAAAGCTCAATGGAAAAAAAAGGGAGCGGGAATGGAAGAAATCTAGATAATGGATTCCAAATGAAGACAAAGAAGCGTAGCTTTATCATACAAGAGAAAAGGAAACCTAACAGAAAGATACTTTTTTCATCACATTTCCACCACCTGTACCTTTTCTAGACTCTGAAGCAAATAGGTTTCTCTTCCTCCTAAGCAACACTATTATCCAAACCCACCCTTTCTACACGGGTAGAAAAACAAACCCAGCATCTTTCTGCCCAAGTCTTGGAACTGTTTCCTTTTCTTCCTTTCCTCCTCAAGCATCTTTTGCCGCTCTTCTACCTCCTGCTGTCGCCGCTTCAAAGCTTCAGCCTCCCGTTCTGCTTTGGAGAGGAATTTGGGCTACAAAACAGACAGGAACTGTGAAAGGATCTGGGAGCAGTGAACAGTCACATCACTGCTAGGGAGACCACAGTGTGCCCCAAAATAGTTGCTCAGGCATTAAACTTGTTGAGGAAAACACAAATAAACCTAGGACCCTGTTATGGGTTGAATTATGCATACTCCTACATCTGCATGTTAAATTTCTAACTCCTAGTACCTCAAGATTTGACAGTATTTGGAGACAGGGCCTTTAAGAAGGCAATGAAGTTAAAATGAGATCATTAGGGTAGACTTTCATCCAGTCTGACTAATGTCCTCATATAAGGAAATTTAGACCCACAGATAGCAGGGGCACATAGTGACAAAGAGACTTCATATGTAGCATATGCAAGCCAAGGAGAGAGGCCTCAGGAGAAATAACACTACTGACTTTGCCTCAGACTTCCAGAACTTTCAGAACTGTGAGGAATAAATAAATTTCTGTTGTTAAAGCCACCCAGTCTATGGTATCTTGTTAGGGTAGGCAGAGCACACTAGTACAGACCCTGAAGTTTACCTTAGCCTCAGCTTCTTCCTCAGCCTTCTTCTTGGCCAGCAGTTCCTCCAAGGATAGTGGCTGAGCCTAAAGATGCAAACAGGACTCAGCACATCTTCAGACCATAAAAGCTTTCTCCTTTGGGATCAACAAAGTAGCACTCAAGTTAGAGAGGAAGACAAAAAATCACTTCTCTCATTTACCTTTGGCTTCTTATCATGGTCATCATCTTCATCCTTTTTAGAGTCTCTGTCCTTTCGAGATTTAAAATCTTTTCCTCGACCGGGAGATAAGCTTTAAGGAAAAGGAACAAGAAAGATCTACATAACTGTACCACCCCAGTACCTGGATGAAGTCCAGGCTGAACCCCAAAAGAGAATGGAAGTTTTTCCATGACTCAACAAGACTGGCCCATGGTCATCCATCATGCTCTAAAGGTCTCCTAGCAGGCATGGTCCCTCTCTGTCTGCTTCAGAACCTAATTATGTCCCTGTCTTGGCCCATTTTAGCTGCATTTCCTTTTCTAAGACTAATCACTTTTGGAAAGTGGGCTTTCACTACTGATGTCAAAAATATTTCCTCTAAATTTTTTTTCCCTCTAGTCAGCAACTGTACACTGAACAAAATTCTAGACTTTATAATACACAATGAACTGAGCCAAAATGACCACCACTATAATAAGCCAAGGAGATACTGCTATCTACAGCCCCATATCCTCTTTCCTTCCCATTAGACCACCAATCCTTCCCCTAACGGTTGTGTGTCCAGTTTCCACGAGAGCTCAGATAGTTCCACTGTGTCTGTTGGGCACATTCTGTCCTTGACCTTAAATTCTAACCTACACATTCAGTGCCTGATAATAACTTTACATAGAACATTTCCAGAAGAAAGAGATGAAGACACTGTGAAATTAAACTACTCTAATAATACACACTGTATATCCTTAGTAGAAATACTGACTGGAAAAAAAAAAAAAAAGAAAGAAAAAATACTGAATGGTATAAAGGGGTTAAAGGATATTTTATAGGTTGTTAATCTTTTCAAACCAATTTCTAAATTCCAAGAACAAGTTGAGCCTCAACTTAGTTGTGACTTTACTAACCATGTCCTTTCAAAAGAAGACACTGTCGTCTAAGAACAGCTGTGTAATTATTATCAACAGGATCTCTAAGAGAAATCAGTTTGCAGCTGAGCCAGCTGCAGAGAGAAAGCGAGGGGAGTGTCTCTACCACCCACCTCCATTCCTTCAGTTACCTGGGTCGTTTACGATCCTTGTCCCTTCGGTGCCCATCTTTATCTCGATCTCGGTCCTTCTTATTCCGATCCCGTTCCTTATCTCGCTCCCGTTCTTTATGCCGTCGTTCTCTAGAAGACAGTAAATTTAAGAAATCATTTGACATTTCCATAGTAGCACTGCAACCACAATCATAAAATGGAGAACATATTTCCCAGGATAAATGAAGGAAAATCCCTCTCTCTCTCTCTTTTTGGTACTGGGAATCAAACTCAGGACCTTGTGCTTGCCAGGCACAAGGCCACTGAGCTATGGTCCTGGCTCAAAGAGGAAATCTTAATATGTCAGAGTTGTACTGCTAAATATTAAGGGCTGGAAGAGACCACGAATAAGTATGTGAATTGGTGAACTTTGATCATCTGGACCCTTATTTCACAACCTCCCTCTCAACTTTTTTTATTTTTGGTTGTTTAGACTTGGTCTCACTTTGTAGTCCAGGCTGAACTTGTACTCACTATGTAGCTAGTCTTGAGCTCACGGTGATCCTCCTGCCTCAGCTGTCTGAGTGCTGGGATTACAGGCATGCACCACCATACCCGGTTCCTCTCAATCTTTAAGAGTTGAGTCACTGAGGAAAACTGAAAACACTCGTAGGTCCAAATGGGATAGAGTGACACTAATTTTTGAAAAGTTGATGCCTAATAGTGCAGGTACTGCATGAACCAAGAAAGAAATTTGAAACGCATTCTCCCTTCTCATATAACAGATACGCAAAGTCATATCACCTCTCTGTAGACTTGGAACGGGAACGGGAGCGAGAGCGGCTACCTCCCCGTCGTCTATCCCTTGACCGATGGCGTTTCCTGTCTTTAGATGGGGAGGACTTCCGATCCCGGTCTCTATCCCGCTCTCTGTCAGGAGTTCGTGATCGCTTCCTTTCTTCCTTGGAAGGTGATGAGTCTCGATCCTTTTTGTCAGCTAGCTCTCCTGCCATCTGTTATAAAAGGAGTATTTACCATATGTAATTCACTAAGTCTCAAAAAGTCCAAGGTAGATATATTAGTATACCCACTTTATAGTTGAGGTAAATGAAGCTATGGTACATAAACTAACTTGCCTGAGGATATACAGGTAGAAAATGGCAGAGTTCCAGCTGTTTGGCTCCAGAGACCCATTTTCACTCACTATACTATACTGTCTCCCTGTGATTCCTTTTTATATTCACCTCTAAATAGGTAAAATGACATACCACATTTTTGTAGTTGGACTGCAAAAGAGCATTAAAAAACACATTAGTGAATGAACAGTAACCTAGCTACTTCTAGAAACATCCTATATTACTTATCTTAGAAGTCTATTAGGTATTAGATTAGCCAGGATTAGTCAACATATACAAAGTTAAAGGAAGATTCTCTTGAGCTCATAAAAAAAGTTCAAAAAACAAAAAAGTCAATTTTTAGACTTAGACTATAATAAGCATCACAGGGAAAACCTGAATTTAAAAGAAAAAACAAACATATTTTTATTCAGATTAAAAGAAATGTACTTTAAAAAAAAATAAAAGTACTTCCCCCCTCCCCCCCATACCGGGAATAGAACCTTGCACTTGCCAGGTACTTGGAACAGACCTTGTGCTTGCTAGGCAGGCCCTTATGCCAATGAGCTATATCCCCAGCCCAAGAAATGTACCTGTAGGTCTGGGGATGTATCTCAGTAATGCAGCACTTACCCAGGTTGCATAAGCCCTGGGTTAAATCCCCAGCACAATGCCTTGTCTCCCCCCCCTCCGGGGGGGGGGGGCCGGCAACATAGATGTGGCTGACTGGCACTGACCCAGGGAAAGGCTGATCAAAATGTATTCAGTGAGGCAGACAGGAGTCAGACTGTGAAAATTTGTTACAGGCTAGGGCAAAGAAACTTGCATTTCAACTTAACTGCAATGGAAAGATCTTAAAAAGGATGTGATGAGATACAATTTTACACTGTAAAAAAAATTACTTTGGGGACTTGTATGAAAACATAGTTTTACATATATAACCACTAAGAATGCTATCACAGTACTGCTGGTTCTCCATACCAATCCATAGTTTCTGCACTTACATATTCAACCAACTATGGATCAAAAAATATCCATATATTCTATCTTGAACATGTAAACTTATTTCCCTGTTATTTCCGGAGCAGTATATAACAACTTATACCGCATTCAGATTGTATTAGGTGTTACACATAAAGCCTCAGATGACTTAAAAGTACACAAGAGGATATGCACAAGTTATACACAAATACTATGCCCCCTGATGTAAAGCACAGGAGCATCTCTGGATTTTGGTGTTTCCAACTAATATTCCTCAGATATTAAGGGACAATTATAAGGCAGAGATGACCATGGCTTATTCTAGGAAAGTGGTAACAGAGATGGACAAAAGTAAAGTTCCAGAGTATATTTTGGAAGCAGAGCTGAAAGGAAAAAAAACAAAAGAGGAGACACAAAGTTCCCTAAAGATATCATTTGAACGATCTATTGGCTTGTGGTACCTATTGGCTGATGAACTAACCAGAAAACAGTAGGGAAGGAAGAGATTTAGAAGAAAACTAAAATCTCAATTTTGACTGGGTTGACTGTGAGATATCAATAGGAAAACCAAGTGTAGACTTCAAGAAAGCAGATGGAAACAAGCTGCAACTGAGAGTCTAGAGACAAAAATTTGAGTCACTAGTACACAGATGGGTGTTAAAAGTTGTAGTGCAACACAGTTAAAGAAGAATATATTAAAAGAGGACCCAGCGCTGAGCTCTAGAACACTAACCTTTGGCGGTCAGGCACAAGAAAAGCCAGAGAAAGACTGGAAAAGAAGCTGCCAAGTGAAAAAAGAATTCTCACAAAAGTAAAGTATACCAAGAGAGAAACCAAAAGCATGTTTCAGGGAGGGAGTGGTCAACTGTGTCAAGTACCATCCAATTAGAAAAAGATGAGGGAGTAAAGAAGAATCTTACACTTGGAAAAATAAAGATTAGAGTGACCTTGACAAGAGTTGTTTCAATGCCATGAAGGCAGTAAAAGACAAGCCTAAGTGGAAGGAGCCTGGCAGAAAATGAGAAGAACAAAAAGTTAGTATATATAGGTACCTTTTATTGTAGATAATTTTGGCCACACAGACTCGCTCTTCAAGCCTCCCTACCTTTGAGTCCCTCTTCTGTTCCTACAGGGCAGATTCTTTTCATTCAGCAAGGTACTCATCAAGTATCATTATATGCAAGGATCAATGCGAGGTGCTGTGTGAGTTACAGAGGAAATCTTGTACACAAGAAGCTTTTAGAACACAGCATATAAGACATGTATCAAGATGAAAGCTCAGATGAAGTACTTCAAAAGTTTAGAGAAGCAGTTTCATTTTTAAAAGTAGATCTGGAAGGTTAAATAGAGGAAGTCGTCTGGAACCTCTAAGTATAAGCAGATTTTGAAGGTGTATAATTGAGGATGCAGAAAAAGGTAATTCTCTTGGAAAGAAATAATACAGGCGGCCCTGAGGCGGGAAAGCACAGACTGATTCCGGGAGTAAAACAGTTAGTTTGGCTGCAGCACCGCCAATACACACAAAAGTAAGGTCTGCAGGGGAATCACAGGCACTGTGCCTACAGGCTCTAGGCCCATAACATAGTCCAGGGATGTGGCCTGTGCCCCCAGCAGGCAACTCTCTCTGGGGCCCGCGCCCCCTCGCTACTGCTTGCTAAAGCTTCCTAGGTTTGTGCCCCTTCCCCAAGGTATTCTTTCCCGCCTCATCCTAGTGGCAGAAGCCACAGCCATGCCCCTATTATGGACCCTCTCTGTAAACTCATGGGAACCGCCCCCACCGCCGGGAACTCACCACCTTGGGTCTGAACCGCCTAACGCGGCCTCAACGTTGCCGAGCAGTCGCCATCTTTCCAGTTTCCTGGTCGCCGAGGTGCACCCTGGCAGAGGAGCACGCTGGGAAGAGGAGTCCCTGGGGCTGCGCTGAGCAGGCCGACAACGAGACCTGGAACTACTAATCCCAGAATGCATAGCCCGACCGCCAGCCGGACCGCGAGACATGCTGGGCAATGTGGTTCGCCGAATGTTTGATTTTAAGGGAGGAAAGTTTTCTGTGGGTCCGCTTCCGCCCCCGTCTTCAGATTGTAGTCTGCTTGTCTTCCTAAAAGCTTCCGTTAATAACCAGCAGTTTATAGTAGAGGAATTTAGGAATTTAGAATAACCCTAGCATAGCCTGTAATCCCAATACCGTGGGAGGCACAGGCAGGATGATCCAATCCAGTCTGGACAGTTTGGGGAGACTTATCTCTAAACAATAAAAAAGGCAGGAGATATAGCTGAGTGCGAAGGCATTGTATGCAATCCCCAGTACCAAAAAAAAGGGGGCAGATAACTCTTAACATACAATTATACTAGCAACTGCAGTAAAACAAATAATTTACCATTAATGGAAAAGCATTTTAACAAAAATTCTGTGCAAGAGATTAACCCTATTTTACAACAGCACAAACTAAAAAATTACAGGCCATGCGTAGTATTTCACAATGACGGTGTGGAAGACTTCATTGTGCGGAAGTACTCTGGCTTTAGAGGGATTTTTAGCAACCCTGGCCTGGCAGTGGGGTGAATGGTGTAATAACTCTTAGTTATTGTGACAACTCAAAATGAGCTCACACAACTGGACATGGTAGCAAATATTTATAATCTCAGTACTTGAGACGACTTAAACGGGAAGACTTTGCGTTCAAGGCCATTCTGGACAACTTATCTAGACTCTGTCAAAAAAATAAAAAGAAGTAACAAACAAACAAAAACCAAAACAGTGGTCTCCAAAGTACTCCTGGAAGAATTGTATCTCTAACAGGACTGTAGCTTCCTGTTTTCCCTTCTTTCTTTTTTTTGTTTTTGGTACCAGGGATCGAACTCAGGACTGCACACTTGCAAGGCAAGTGCATATTGCCGCTGAGCTAAATCCCCAGCCATTCTCCTTCTTTTAAAATATTTTCTTTATTTAAAGTTTCTGTGAATGATGAGGTAGCATATACCTGTAATTCTAGTACTCAGGAGGCTGAGAAGCAGGATCACTCTGAGTTCAAGATCAGCCTGGGCTATATAGTGAATTCAAGGCCAGTCTGAACTACCTAGCAAGACCTTGTCTCAAAAAAATAAAAGTTTTTGTTTATTTGGTTTTTGTTTTTTTCAGACAGTGTTTCAAAAAAGCAGCCTTGGTTTATTTTAATTTTTATTTATTTACTCGGTTAATTATTTATTTACTGGTACTGATGATTGAACTCAGGGTCTTATGCATGTTTGTCAGACATTCCACCACCTGAGCACATCCCTAAGCCTCTTGTGATTCGCCTGCCTCAGCCTCCAAAGTAGGTGGGATCACAGGAATCCACCGCTACATGTGGTGTCCTCATTTTATAGTCCCCAGAATCTTGTTGAAATATCTCCTTATTTTTTCTTCTTTCTTCTAGATTTCCCTGTTTCAGTCTCCTACTGAACTTTCATACGCTTGCTTTATTTCTCTTTGTTCTTATGAGTTTATAATTCAAACACACACACACACACACACACACACACACACACACACACAGTGTAATTGTTAGGGTGGTTGAGTAATCAAAGTACCTAGTGCTCCTTCTTGCCCATTTTCCCATCTTGAGCTTGGATATTTCAATTCCACACTGCTTTGGATCTGGTTTTTCTCTCTGAATATGCTTTCAGTTCTCAAGCGGGGCCTCAGGATAAACTCTAGCCCTAAAACTCTGACATCACACACAGTGGCCCAAAGTAAGAGAGACTCTACTGTGTTCTTAGAATTCCAGTCTTTGACTTCCCCACTTCTAGCAGAAGGTGAAAGGAAGTCTGAGACCTATGGGGTGTAATTCACATAGTGAACATGAGAGGGTGCTCCATTCACAGGTTGGAACTCCAACTAGGAATCAGTAAGGGTAATCTGGTAAAAACTGCAGCTACCAGAGTATTGTCTTCTAAGTGCCCCATTCGGTTCTGGACAGTTAATTTACAATAATTCTTTTACTTAGTTATAATAGTAATATGATTTTGGTATTACCTCCATTTTACTAATAACTCAGAGGGATTAAGTATGCCTTCAAGTCCACATAGTTTAAAAAAAGCAGGGATGAGAGGGCAGGATCTAGACATGGTGGTACATGCCTTTATTCCAGCACTCTGGGAGGCTGAGGCATGAGGACTGCAAATTCAAGCTCAGCATAGGCAATTTAGTGGCTTAGCAAGACCCTGACTCAAATTAAAAATTTTAAAAAGGGCTATGAAAAAAGGGGGTGGGCTATGAATAGCTCAGCATGGAGCCCTGGGTTTAGGCTGCAGTACTGGAAGGAGGGGAAGGAGAATCAGACTCCAGGTTCATTTAATTTCAGGGTGCATGTTTTCTCCTATTTCCAGGCTACCATGCCTACTGTCTTTAAAGAAGAATGAATTGAGATTCAGCAAGATGACAAAGTTTGGCCAGGTTCATAAATGGAGTCTCCTGACACATGTGAGCCACAGAATACTTGCTGTTTTTATCTTACTTTGCTACTTCTCTTATAAATAGGCATTCTTGGAGATGGAGACAGGACTATGCTTTAGTAAGGACAATAGGTAGTCTGTTACTTAGTTATAATGGCTAGCGGTAAGGGGCATATGGGATTATTAACACAGTAAGACCTGGTTTGAGCCCTCACTGTCAGTATGATGTTATGCATTATATGACAGCTTTTTTCTCTCCTCAGTTATAAAATAGGGATAATAACTCCCCATGTCTACCTGGATAGAACAACAGTGCTATTAAAGAGTGCATGTTGTGATGGGGCATGGTAGCACATGCCTTATAATCCCGGTACTTAGGAGGCTGACACAGAAGGTCAGGTTCCAAGCCGGCCTGAGCTACGTAGTGAGCTGAAGTCCAACCTGGACTACATAATAAGACCCTGTTAAAAAAAAATCTATGTTCTGGCCAGACACAGTAGTATATACCTTATAATCCCAGTGGCTCACTCAAGAGATTGAAGCAGGGGGATCCTGAGTTCAAGGCCAGCCTGAGCAACAGACTAGGACCCCATCTCAAAACAAAAACAAAAAAACAATACTTCATGTTCTGCAGCTAGATTGCCTGATTTGTATACATGTTCTATCAGTTTCTAGCTGTGTGGCCTTGTACACATGTATGAATCTCTCTGAACCTCATTTTCTGTAAAACAAAGTAGGCAGTATCTCAAAGGATCATTACAGGAATAGATAACATAGGTGGACTTGCAGGCATAATCTTTCTGGGCTATCAGCAAAATGAAGATAATACCAAGATCAGACTACTATGATAACAAAATGCCCAGATCCTTACCAAACATATAACAAAGGTAAGTTCTTATCTTTTATGTTAAATCCAATATTGTAGGTTAAAGCCTTCACCACAGTGCTGAGAACACAGTAACTTATTTCTAGCACTATGCTATGAAACTGGAAAAACACAAAACTGTGAATCACAAAGGATGAGGGAAATTGAGGGCTTCAAAATACCATCAATAGACTCTGGACTGGAAGCCACCTCTCCTTGAATTTAAAGGACACCAACGGGGGCTGGGGATTTAGCTCAGCGGCGTAAGCGCCTGCCTTGCAAGCAGGCAGTCATGAGTTCAATCCCTGGTACCGATAAAAACGAAAAAGATAAAAATAAATAAATAAAATAAAGGACACCAACAGGAACCCACCTCCCTTGGGTTAGTTTGTGCATCTCTGCCGGAGGTGGACTCAGCAGCCTGATTCCCTACAGATGATCTTTCTCCCTTAGATTCAAGGACAGTGATGGTGAACCTATGGCACACAAGTCCCCAAGAGCTATTTGTTATCACTAAAGTTCTAAAAAGCTCCCTGTCACTGTTCTAGGGCAATGGTCCTCAGGCAGAAGCAACTTTGCCCTGGGGATATTTAACACTATTTGGAGACATTTTGGTTCTGACAACTCAGGATGCCACTGTCATCTAGCACCTGCCAGAAATGCTGCTAACCTATACTGCATAGCACAATGCCCTACAAAAAGCATTCCCCACTCCAGACATCATCCCAAGGTTGAGAAGTCCTGCTCTAGGGTTAAGGATTTGGGTGGAGTGGGAAAAGGAGGGGTTGCTTATTAGAGGGGCTGGAGGACTATGGAGGCAGCCACTGCAACCCACATAAAGGGCCCCAAGAAAGCTTTTCCCTGAGTATCAACAACCTAAAAGTTGGACATGGTGGCACCTGTTTGTAATTCCAGCACTCCAGAGGCTGAGACAGGAGGATCACTGTGAGTGCAAGGACAGCCTGGGCTATATTATGAGACCACCCTCCCAAATAGCGAAGAAAACAGAGAAAGAAGAAATGGAGCCAACTTCTTTATATGTATTATATTTTTCATTAATAAATAGGTTATCTTCTTTAAACACAGAACATATAACAGATTGAAACACTCCCCCCCCCCAATTCCAAAGACAAGAGTCTATAAAACAAACGCCAACTGTGCCACTCTACGGGCAGGAAAAGTCTGGTAATCTCCCCCCCAGCCCTGCCCCTGCAGCACCACCACCCCCGCACTCTGCAAGAGAAGGGGGTCTGGGGCTTCTCCCTTGGACCCTGGGGACTCAGGTGAGAAGCGTGTGAATGTGCAATGTCACCTCTCCATGATGCATGGGCTATGCAAAATGAGCTTTCCTTCTCATTGGCTCTGACCAGCCCCTGCCCTCTGATTTCAGTTGTGAAGCACCTGGGCCAAGCTCCCAAGGGGCTGCCTCTCACTTCCTGGATCTTCATTCCTCTGGCAGCTCCACGGAGGGGAAAGGACAAGCTGGGGACCCCTCCCATCCCCCGCCTGCATGGGAACGCAGTGTGGAAGAGGCATGATGCTGAAGGGGAGGCTCCCGCAAGCCCCCAAGCCCACGAGGCCAGCACACCCCCTGGGGCCCCCACATATTTGCCTCCACTGGACTAGGGGGCACTGGGACAGCTGCCCCCTCCTCAACCTGGCGCCCTGCTTGGGGTGTGATGGTTTTTACTCAATGTCAGGTCCTCATGCGGGGCCTGGTCCCTTCCTCATCCCATTCCTGTCTCCTTCCAAGCCCTCAACACGGCCATCAGAAAAACTTGTGTCCAGTGTCTTCAATTGTCTCATCCTCCCTCTCCCCGTGCCTCTGCACCCCAAGGGAGGAAGTGGGGGGTTGTCTCCCCCTTCCAACTCCCACTTCACATAATGGAACAGCTTTTGGCTTTTTCCTTCTTGAAAGTAGAAGAGATGAGTTCGGAGCGACTGGGCAGATGGAGCAGTCGCTTGGAGAGGCTCCGGGTAGGACTCTTGGGGGGCATCTGGCTGGGCTTGTTCAGACACACCATGGACGCCATCCGGAAGATGCTGTGGATACTCTTCTCAGAGGTGAAAGCTGAGCCTTCCAGGTAAATTTCCGCGCCCAGCTGCTTGGCTATGGCACAGCCCTAGGGGAGGAGGGTGTGGTTGTTAATCCCAGTCCCCAGTGGCTGGGAACTGCTGCAGCTTGCTGTGCACCGTTCCGGATGGTACCTACCACCCAGCCTCTGGCACCGGAAACCCCAGCCTCTTCCAATTATTATTATTTTTTTTTCTTCCAATTATTTTTGTGAAGGTGAAGCCTGACTACACATTGGAATCACCTGAAACACTTTTAAACTATACTGATGCCAGAGCAAGGAAATCAAATTTTCTGGAAATAGAGTGGGGACACTGTTTGTTTGGTGCTGGAATTTGAACTGATAAACGTTGGGTTCAGGGGCTGGGGATTTAGCTCAGTGGCATAAGCACCTGCCTCGCAAGCAGGCAGTCATGAGTTCGATCCCCAGTACCAATAAAAAAGAAAAAGACAAAAAAACACAAAACCTTGGGTTCTACTGTTGAGCCACACTCCCAACCCCAGTCCCAGCCCTACTTGTCTAAAAGCTCCCCCAGAGGACTCTAATGAGAAACACTGGCTTAAAAGAACTGATGGTTACACTACTGCATGCATTAGGAATCATTCAAAGGTCTTGTTAAAAATGCAAATTTCTATGTCTTTTTCACAGAGTGGTTTTATAGGTATGGAGCTATGAATCTGAAATTCTGACAAGCACCTCTAATGATTCCAGTGTGAGTGGTCAACAGCAAACAATCTTAGAAATGCTAACGCCAAGTGTGTGGTCGTGAGTACCGATAAAAACGAAAAAGACAAAAAAAAAAAAAAAAAAAAAAAAGTAAAAAAAGAAATGCTAACACACACAGGAACGGCTCACTGCTAAGCCATGGGCACCCATTACCCTATCGAGGGGACTGGGTCATTAATTATATTAAACACCTCACCTCAGTTCTCACTTGTCATGGCAGGAGAGTCTGAGCGAGACCCATATTTCAAGGCCTCTGCCTGCAACCTTCCCCATGTTGCCCTCTGCGTGTACACACACACACACACACACACACACACACACACACACCTGCTCATAGGAGATAGGTGCCTGCTTCTGGTGAGACAGCTCCATCAGTGTACTCAGATCTGTTCGAAGGTCTGTCTTGCAACCAATGAGCAAAACGCGGGTGCTGGGACAATAATCTAGGATTTCTGTCCTCCACTGAGGGGTCAAGCAGGAAGAAAGGAAGGTTAATGGGGAAGGAAGCAGAGTCAGTGGCAGGCAGATAGCAGAAGCTCAGTTGGCAATGTCACACATACCACCCAGGTCAGCACCAATTCAGCTCTCCCTCTGAGTCACAGCAGCTCCCCTGTACTAATGACATCATCTTCCTGCCCATTCGGTCTGTGACTCTGTCCCTTCAGCCCAGTCAAAGGGCCACACAAGTCCAAAATGCCAGGAAGAAGCCTACTAAATAACTCCCCCTCAGAGAAGAACATAACTCAGAGTCTTCTGGGAAACCGGGCTAATTCCACAAGGCTTCTGAGAGTCCTTGGTACGCAGACTTTGTGGCCCAGACCCAGGCATTTCCTACAGGAAGGCCAGCTCTGACTGCCTGACTCACTGCAATGAACATCTATGGATGCGGCCTCTGAAAGGTCTCATCCTGGCACTCAGACCACACCACGAGAAGGCTCTCTGCTTCTTGACCCTTTGCTTCCTAAATTTTCAGTACCACTCTTCTTTGCTGGGGCTGCTGGGAGAGGACATAGAAAGAGTAGAAAGCAGAAGGTTAAGGAGACCTCATCCCAGAGCTGCAGCTAACCGTGTGGCCTTGGGAAAATCTCTCCCTTCTCTGGCCTCAATTCCTTCCTCCCTCTCGCCCTCCTCCAGGACTGAATCCATGTGATCTTCACGTAGAGCTATATCTCAGCAATTCTCTGTAAGACAGGGTCTCACTAAATTGCCAGGGCTACACTCCAACTTTCTAGCAATCCTTCTGCCTCAGCTTTCCAGGGGTCTGGGATTATAGGCATGCACTTCCATGTCTGTCCATCACAACTGCTACACAAGAGAATTAAATGACAAGGCCCTGAAGATTCTTTCTTGTCCTTCTGCCAGGTTAGAAACTGTAAAGTGTAGCTAATTTTACCTTTTTGAGAGCACTGTCCACTGTCTCCGGACGGCTGATGTCAAAGCATAATAACACTGCATCTGAGTCGCTGTAGCACAGTGGACGGACATTGTCATAGTAGGGAGATCCTAGTGCAGGGGAGAAAGAGCTGGGGGTGAACCATGGCATTTTCCCCAGCTATACAGGCCTAAGCCCAAGGAGCCTGGGGATACCATGTTTGACCCCTTAGGATCCTCCCATCTCCCAGGGGAATGTGCTTCGCCTGGAAGCTTGGAACTGCCCTCCAGGCAGCTGCATACATATATCATGCCCCTTAGTCCTGAAAAAGCAAAAAAGGACAAAATAAAAGAGAGTGGAGTACATTTGATCCTGCCTGGGGCTCCTACAATGGACTTAAAGTCTATCTATTTTCCGAGTCCATGGTAATATTCCCAAACCCTGTGAAGAGACCAAAGCTTGTTTAAGGTCTCCTCTCAGAAGTCTCGCTGCTGCCCAGGCTCTGCTCCCCTCCTTCTGCTCTGGGGTCTCCCAGATGAGAAAATGAGCCTGCTTGTTACATAACTGGCTGCCTGCTTCTTTATCATGGGGTTACAACTCTAGGAAGCTGGCAGGCAAAGGGCGGCATCAGGGATTCGGTGTCCTACCCCCTACCCACCCAAGTCAGTTCAGTGAAACAGGAAAAGCAAAGCCGTCCCCCTCCCTGCCCCTAAGATCTCAGGAAGCCAATATCAAAGACCACAAGACCAACAGCTGGGGACTTAAAACTAGAGCAAGGGTCCTTCATTGGAAGGGAAGAAGGCAGTGTGGACTCAGGGGTCTGATAGGGGCAAAAGCCAGGACCTGAGCCTGCTCCCCCCTCCTTGGGGAAGGAACAGTAGCGGATTTGGAACCCAGACAATCCGTGCTCAGAATAGCAAGCAGCCCCTCTCCCTGCACCGCAATTGCCATGGAAACTGGAGGGAATCCAAGCTGGGGGGTGTCAGTCATAAAAAAAAGTAGTAAGGGGGAGATAGGATAGCTGCCTGACTCTTCAGCAATCTGTTCCTGGCCGTTTCTGAGGTGGGGGTCTGACCACTGCAGCGAAGCCACGGGAGCGCTGCAGTGCTGGGAAGGGAGGAGGGGAACAGCTCTCATTTGGGGTCCAATTGCTCCCCCACCCCTAAGACCAGCCAGTGAATAAAGGGAAAAGCTTCAACCCTGGCCCCAGCAGGAAAGCCGCATCACACACGTTACTGCCACTTCCTTCTCCTTTATGGAAACCTAATGTAAGAGGGAGTCCAAGGATAACTGATAGCCTTCATCCTTTTAGAAATGAAGGGGTGGGGCGCAACCCGATATATGGGGACCACACTTGCTGATTTTTCATGATCTGGATTAGGGACTGGAGGGCTGCATTCTGACTCTGGGAGGAGGGGAGGCAGCAGGAGGTTGGGGGTGGCGATAGTGAAAGGAGAAGAGCTGCAGTGAGATTCTGGGAAGATGGGGAGGTGGGAGGGTTCGGCAGAAGACACACCAAACGTCATGCAGCCACGCTGCATTCCAGCTGCTCCGGCAGCACAGCACAGTCCCAACCTGCCTCCCCACCCCTGGAGCTGCAACGGAGGAAAGCACACCAGTTTGAGGAATTTTTGCTTGGCAAGGAACAAGAGGAAATCTCCTTTTCCATCTACCCATTGCTTACTCCCAATCTTTGCAGACCTCAAAACTGGAGCAACAGCTCTTTGGAGGAATGGGGTGGCATATTTATTCCAGAAACAGGAAACCCCTAGTGATTTATAGTCCCTCTTTAAACTTAGACTGAATATGCATTTTTGGGTAAGAAGTGGGTATTTTTTCATTGCTAGTTTTTGTTCCTTAATTATGACTCTGAGCTTATTTAGAAAAGGACTGAAGTAAAGAGATGGTGGGAAGGGCTCAGAACCAAAGCAAAGACAAGCCAGCACGCAGGGCTTGGGGCTGAAAGCCTAGGAAAATACTGCTTTCTGCATTCTGGAAAGAGAGGGTATCTTGTACCTCACCCTAGTACTGTACAGGGAAACTGATCAGAGTGAAGCCCCTTCACCCAGCAAGCCACCAGTCACAAAAGGATTGTGCCCTACATTAAGCCATCTCCCCCACCCTCGAAAACATCGATGATGCATCGCTCCATCCTCGAGTCGCAGCAGTGTGACAGCGGAGCTGAGCTGCTGCAGGAGGACAGCAGTGGCCAGAGATGCCATGTAGGAGAGAGCCTGGCCTTGACGCTAACCAAGCAGGCTAATCACCTGCCCTGCAGGGGCTGCCGCCAGGAGCACTGCCTCTCGCTTCTGATTTAACTTTGTTTTGGGGAAGGCACGGCTCTGTGTGTGTGGTGTTGGGTAGTTGGAATGGAAATAGAGAAGTCCTGCCTCTGCCCCTGGGGGGATTCATGGGTCCCTCTACTTTACCACCCCAGCACCCACCCCACTATGCCCTCTGACAGATGGAACTCAACCCCAAGAAGCAAGTGGCTTCTGGATTCCTCTGCCCTGCACTCCTGTACTGTACAACTGAGCTAACAGCCCCCAACCCCAACCAAGGAATTTCCGAGTCCCTTCCTTCTATTTCCTGGCAAGCACCTTTCTCCTCCCTGCCAAAGGAGGAAACAATCTAGAAAAGCTGGCAGCTGCAGCGGACCTGTGGAGGTGCAGGAAAAGGGGCATTTGTGGCCGCAGTCTTACCTGAGGTATCCCAGAGACTAAGCTCCACTCTCTGTTCCTCTGTTTCCAGACAGGCTGTGTAATTCTCGAACACAGTGGGCACATAGGTCTGTGAGAAGACAGGAGCCATTTACATCTGGACACCTCTCCCCAGAGCCTTCCTGTTAGCTCCTGTTAGCCCTGGCTACACAATAAACCACACGTCCACCCTCAGAGACACCAGTGTCAGGCACTAAGGAGCCTGAGCAGGGAATACATGGCGGGAGGGGCCCTGTGGGACAGGAGGGAGAGGACTGTAGAGGAGCAGGCACTTTGCTCTGTGGCAGTAAGAAATGGGAACACTCCCCAGCCAGACACAAGCCCCCATAACCCAGACAGAGACACATGCACATATATCCCTCTCCTCCACGCACGGATGGGTCCCGGCTTCAGAGACACGGCCCACTCTCACCCCCTCCGTCCCCTCTCAAGCCCTCAGCCCTGGAGAAAGACTGAAAGGGGCAGCAAAGCCTGCGTGGGGCCCCACTCATGGAACCCGAGGCGGCGAGGGGGGATAAAGGGAGAAGGAGGAGGCAGGGATTACGTCAAGAAGAAACCCCAGACTCTCCAGTGCCTCCAGTTCTCTCTCCTGAGACAGACAGACGTCAAGGATGCAGGAAAGTAGGAGGGGATCTGATGGGTGAAGAGGTGAGAAGGAGCCGGCGGGGAGGCCAAAGTGGGGCAAGTCTCGGGGGAAGCTGAGGCCGGGCGGGCCGGAGAGCAGCCGGGGGCGGGGCGGCGGCGTGGGGGTGCCGGCTTGCCCGGCGGGTGGGCAGGGACCCTGGCAGGCGGGCGGGCGGCAGCTCACCTCCGGATAGCAGTCCTTCGCTAGCACCTGTAACATCGCTGTCTTCCCACACTGCACGTCCCCCACCAGCACGAGCTTACATCTGACCACCGCTGGCTGCGGCGCCCGTCTCTCCCTCATGGCTGCAGCCTCCGCGGACTTGCACTGGGTGCAGGGAGGAAGGAATGCGCCAGATATATCTTCACACTCTGTCAACTCGACTCCCTGCTCCCTCCAACTGAGGAGGACGGGCAGCACTGCCCCTTTATATCGCCTGGCTGAGCCAATCACAAGAGGAGGTGGACACAGTCCAGGCCAATCCCTGAAAGGTGGGATCCCCTCCAGCAGCCAGTGATAAGAGGCTCTGAGTCAGTGCCTTCTTCCTCCCAGCCCTTTCTCTTAAAGCTGCATGGTTCTTTCCTCCTGAAAGGGGATTCCCACGCTGTTTTGTATTTTGTGCTGGGAAGAGTGGGAGAACTTGAAGTAAAATTAAATGAAGTAAGTGTCCAACAGGTAGAGTCAAAAGCCATAAACTAGCCCTAGAAGCAGAAAGGGAGGTCAAGCTGAAGTTGTAGGCACTGTCCAGAAGAACAGGACCAGCCTAAACTATGGAGAGGTGTCAGCTGGGGTGTGGTGGCAGGGTGGTCCCAGAGATCTCTGACAGCTTTATCCTAATTCCTGTTCAACCCAGATCCCACTTCTGGTGTCTCAACATCAGTTCCTGCCCCTCATTCCCACCCCCCACATCCCAGCCTGTGTTATTATTTGAGACAAGGTCTCCATAAGTAGTCTAAGCTGACCTCAAACTCACTGTGTAGCTCAGGCTGGCCTCAAATTCATGGTGGTCCTCCTGCCTCAGCCTCCCCAGTGCTGAGATTACTAGGTATGTGCTACCATGCCCAGCTCTTCTGTCGTCCCTTTTGTAGCCTAAGTCCCTGCCTCAGAAATCACACTGAGCAAAACAAATGAGCAAAGCACAGCTCCTGACCCAGAGCTAGGCAGAGAGAAAGGACTGAGGGAGACTGCAGTAGGGAACAGGAACACAGCAAAACAAAGCCACTGTCTGCTGGCCAGCCTCTCATCGCAGGCCTGGCAGGATCCTGAAAGGCATTTGTTTTCCTTCCTGGATGAATCAAGTGCAGGTCTAGTTCCAGGCTGACATCAACAGACGCTGATGCTTTACCCTGTGTCACCTGGTTAAAGTTCAGTCAAGAAGACTGGGACAATGGGATTAGAAGTCCGAGGGCTATTGGCCAGGTGTGACGATGCACACCTGTAACCCCAGCACTCTGGAGGCTGAGGCAGGAGGATAGCCATGAGTTTGAGGCCAGCCTAGGTCACATAGCAAGACCCTGTCCCAAAAGAAAAAGGGAGAAGGAAGAGGAAGGGCAATAGGAGAGGAAGAAGTACTTGTTGTTGGAGGACTAAGGTTAGGATAAGCCACAAAGCTGCTTATTGGCCCTGCCCCTCAGCCCTTTTCCATCTTCCAGGCCTCCCTTCCAGACAAAACTGTAACGCAGACCACAACCAAGAGGATCTAAATACATCCAGGGGATTTGGAATTGGAGAAGGACCAGAGCTGGGCAAACCTGGAGCAATCCAGGGCCTGTTTTTATCTAAATAAGCCTAGCTCTTCTGAACATCCTGAGTGAGTCTTATTCCGTTTTTACTCTTCACTCATAGTCATTGCTGCTATAACCAGGGATATTTTCTCTGAAACAAATTAAAAGCATTTTCCAGGCTCTCAGAGACACATTTCTGGGAGCAAGAATTCCAATAGCTTTATGAGCAGCTCCAGCGCGTGGCCAAGCCTGTGTCCCTGCAGCCTCCAAGTCCCAGCAGCTTGGTGGGGGCTTTGGGGCTCAGCACTGCACTTGCCACCTCCTATGCCTTCTAAACCCCGGGATTGGCAACCATACAGAGGCTGTCAGGAGCTTCTCACCCTCCTGTCCCAGCTGTCTGGAAGTTTCTTCCCTCTACCTCCCCTTGGCCATCACCTCACCCTCAGCCTTCCGACAATATTCCGTCTGCAAAATTTGCCCTCTTCTTGCCCCTTTTCAGTATCCTGAGTGCTTCTCTGAGCTGCCCAGAAATTGGTCTTGGGAGAGTTCCAGAATAGCTGGAAGGTCAGAGACTGTCTCAGCCCAGTATCCTGTCCCCCGGACTAACCTTCAGTACCTGCCCATCTGCACCCTCTATCTCACCTGAAGCGTCCCACCTGGAAGCATCAATAGGGGTCTTAGGCATCCTAGAACCCTTATGTGGGTCCTCTCCTAACACAACTGCATAAGTGTCATCCTCCACATGTTCTCTCCCAGCCTCCCCTTCCCACAGCCCTCCACCAGCTACTCCAAATGCACATCCGGAACAGGTTAAAACTGTTCCTGGGGGGGCTGGAGGTTTAGCTCAGCGGCATAAGCACCTGCCTTGCAAGCAGGCAGTCATGAGTTCGATCCCCAGTACCGATAAAAAGGAAAAAGACCAAAAAAAAACTGTTCCTGGGGCTAAGGATTTAGCTCAGTGGCATAAGTGCCTGCCTGGCAAGTGCAAGACTGTGACTTTGATCCCTGGTACCAAAAAAACATAAAAACAAAAACAAACAAACAAAAAAACCCTGTTCCCATTGCACGCCTGTAATCCCAGAACTTGGGAGGCTGAAGCAGGAGGGTCACTGTACCTTAGAGGCCAGCCGGGGCTACAAAGTAAGTTCAAGGCCAACCTGAATTACATAGCAAGACTCTGTCTCAAAACAAAAACAGAAACCTGCTAAGCAAATAGTTTCCTATGGCTTCTAACAAGATTTCCATTCCTGGGCTCCTCTGAGGTAGAAATTTTTAAGACCTGGTGTCAACACAGATTCTTCTACAGATGGCTGCATTTCAGGGTCAGGCAACAGAAAACCTACAGCCTCAAACTGTCTCCAAAGATATCTCACAGGTCACATGTTTATGAGTTGTGGTGGGAAAGGTGGTGCAAGAAAGGGAGAGAGACAGAGGCACAGAGGCACAAAGAGCGAAGCAGAGGGGACAGTTAGGTCAGGAAGCAGCGTGGCAACGTGGAACAAGGAGAGAGCCAAGTGCTCAGGTTGGGGTGTGGGACCTAGCTCGGCCCTTAACCTGTGCAGCTTTCAGTGATCACTTCCCTCTCTGGGCTCCTATTTCCTTAAATGTTATTTGAGAGATTTGACCAAAGAAAGGCTTTTTTAGATCTTTTTTTCACAGTTAAGTCTTCTTCACCAACTTTGTTTACACCTCTTCCAAGTATCTATTTAAAATTCTGTAGCCAAGCCAGGTATAGTGGCTCATGCTTATAATCCCAGCACTCGGGAGGCTGAGGCAGGAGGTTCATTATGAGTTCGAGACCAATTGGGGCTACCAAGTGAGTTCAAGGCCAGCCTGAACTGCACTGCAAGATCCACACATTGACTTCAGTGATCAGGCTCCTATTTTATAGGTTTCCTCTCCCTTTGGTTTTGTGTGTGCGTGTGTGTGTGTGTGTGTGCGTGCGTGCGTGTGTGCGTGCGTGCGTGTGTGTGTGTGTGTGTGTGTGTGTGTTTTGCTTTTCTTAAGAAAACAGGTTCTTTGTTCTAGAGTATTAGTCTGAATTTTGCTGATTATATCTCCAGTAGTGTTGTTTATTGGTAGTTACTTATTTTATGAACTGAATCTTCTGCAGGATCCCCAAACACAAAGAAGATGCAAAAAAAAAAAAAAAAAAGAAAGAAAGAAAGAAAACTTCTCTGAATCAGAATAGGGGGAACATGCCGTGTACTTCATCTCCTCTCTGTGGGGCCCTCCAAGGGAAAAACACCAGGGAACACAGTTTGAAAACTAGATAATATCCTCTACCTTCAGTGTGTGTGTGTGTGTGTGTGTGTGTGTGTGTGTGTGTGTGTTGCCACATGCTCAAAGCTCAGAGAGCTACCCTATCGTTTTTTGGTTTTGATTACTCTGATAAGTTCCCTATGTGGGTCAGTGGCATAATACACAAAGATATTCGGGGTGGTAGGTGATATTCACTCTGACTCTTACTGGCGAATATACAAGCCCTCAAAATTCTTGCAAAGAGCTGCCAACTACTAGCTCCCAAGTGCTAGAACCCTAGGAGGTAGAGGCAGGAGGATCTTTGCAAGTTTGAGACCAGCCTGGTGGGGGTGGGGAGGTTAGGTTACTAAGGCTTTGCTCTGGAGTGGATTCTGCAAGAAAGTGGAATATCTTTCTCTTATCCAGAAAGCAGGGGCTATCCATTCAGGACTCCCTCTGTCTTATTAGACAGGAGCTATCTTTCTTTCAATAAATTCTTTCCACTCTTAACCTAGAATTCCTAGAATTCATTAGATTTTAGAAAACTTGGCACATTAGACATCTAGCAGGTTGGGAGTTATATTTCCTATATTATTTGGAGGCCCTGTTATTTGCCCTATATCAGAATAATGAAAAGAAATAAGCTTAAACGTCCAGAAAATAGCTGGGTGTGGTAGCACACCTATAATTCCAGCACTTGAGAGGTTGAGGCAGGAGAATTGACTTGAGTTCAAGCTCAGCCTGGGCCATGTAGGGAGATACTGTCAAAAATCCAAAAACAGGGGCTGGGGATTTAGCTCAGCGGCATAAGCACCTGCCTTGCAAGTAGGCAGTCCTGAGTTTGATCCCTGGTACCGATAAAAACAAAAAAAAGACAAAAAAAAAAAAAAAAAAATCCAAAAACAGTGGGCCAGGGATACAGCTCAGTGGCACAGTGCCTGCCTAGCAAGGTCCTGAGTTTGATTCCTGATATAAAAAAAAAAAAAAAAAAATCAGAAGGTAGAAGAATTAAACAAGGCTAAAACTGATTGTTTTCTAGCTTTTTTTTTTTTTTTTTTTTTTTTTTGTATCAGGGATTAAACTCACAACCTCGCACTTGTCAGGCAGCAACTTACACTGCTGAGCTAAACCCCCAGCCCATGAATATTTTTTAAAGCAGCCTTCATAGCTAGAATGGGTGGATATTTGGTTATTTTATAGCTTGAACAATTTTCTTGTTTTTGTCTTTGTTCAGATAGGATTATGGAGAGGCCTTGTTTTGTTTAATCTATCCTGGTTGCTGGGTAGCCTTGCTTATGGTATTCTGAGAAATATCTGGAGTTCTTCAGGACAGAACAAAGGTGTTGTCTAGAGTGCCCAGGCCAGTTCCTGGTTATCTGGGGCTGCCTTTCTCCTTCCCAGCTCTCTTTCAGCTCTTCTTTCTGGAAGCTG